TGTTGTCTTTAATTTCATTCAACAGTTGCATTACAGATTCCTCAAAGAGTGCACTTTTGGAGCCTCGTCTTGCTGTTCCCCTCTCTGCTTTCTCAGCACACATAATTGCTCAGGAATTTCAAGGTCAATCCCACAGTAAGGAAGAAGAGAGAAAACAGGTTCCCACAACAATCCCACAGGTGTCAGTTTCAGGCAGCAAGCAGCCTCTCTATTTGTTATTACTGAAAGGCAGGCTGTAAAAATTTTTCTCAGTCCCTTTTAATATTTAAAAGGCAATCCTGGAGGTGACAGATACTTTTGTTACTTAAAAGCAAGTCCAGGCAGCAGCAGGATACAAAATATCCAAGTCAATGGAAACGAAATTTGAATGTTTCCTCTTCCATTGTGACGTCACAATGGAGTCTAGCTTTTCCCTACCGGGAGGTCTGCTACAAAATGAAGACACTTCTTTATATTAATACACAGTCTCACAGGGCTTTTGAGACTAAAAATAATTTCCCCTCCTTCCCCCTGCAGAAGGGGGGCTTTGGAGTTAACTTGCACAACTTTCTTTCTCTCTCAGGGCTTTGGTCCACGTTTACCAACTCTCCTTTAATTCAGCAAAAGGGATCGACCTCCATTTTTAAATCCCTTTCTCTCCTAATTGTGGTCTAATTTAAGCTTTATTCTTTACTCACGGTTCTGAATTTTTAGTGCTTTTTTTCTGGAGGAATTGGCCGCTCACGATTGCCAGACACGGAGCTTTGTGCTGTGAAGGAAACAGTCGTTTCCGCTGTGCCGTGTCTCCAACCCCACTCACTCTCAGGCTCTTTACGAGCTTACTGGGGAGTGGGGGAGTCACCAAAAGGCACCCAGGTCCTCAGAACGCCAGACTGGATTATTGTAACTCACTCTACGTGGGGCTGCCCTTGAGACTGACCCAGAAACTCCAGCGGGTGCAGAATGCCACGGCAAGACTCCTTATGGGGTCCTTGCCGTGGGATCACATTCATCCAGTGCTATACTGGATGCACTGCCTCCCAGTGGAGTACAAGATCAGGTTTAAGGTGCTGGTTTTAACCTTTAAAGCCCTATATGACCAGGACAGTCGTATCTACGTGACCGCCTCTCGTGGTACGTCCCATGGAGGACCTTACAGTCTTCAAATAAAAACATCTTGGAGATCCCGGGCCACAGGGAGGTTACCTCAACCAGAGCCAGGGCTTTTTTGGCAGTGGCCCCGATCTGGTGGAACACTCTGTCACAAGAGACTAGGGTCCTGCGGGACTTGACATCTTTCTGCAGGGCTTGCAAGACAGAGCTGTTCCACCGGGCCTTTGGCCAAGGCACAGTTTGACCCCCTCCTTCTGTAATCCTCATAGAACTCTAGACCAATGGTTGCCATTAATTTGACTCTGAATTGATTTTAGAATGAATTGATTTCAGAATGTATTTCAATTAATTGATTGTGATTTTATGTAAACTGTGTTATTTTTACTGTTGTTAGCTGCTCTGAGCCTGGCTTCTGCTGGGGAGGGTGGGATGTTATTATTATTATTATTATTATTATTATTATTATTATTATTATTATCATCATCTATAGACCCAAATCCCTCCTCAGCCATTACATTTTCTGTATGATGCTAAGGTTGCCATATGTCTGGAATTTTCTGGACTTATCCAGAATATTGCAGTTGGCAGCAGTCTCTGGGCGGAAATCGGCAAAATATCTGGGAAAATCCAAATGTATGGCAACCCATGTCAGCAGTGTCATTTTTGCCAATTTCCCATAAAAATAGCTCAAAAACATCCATTTTTGTTATTCCGCCAAAAGCTGAACTTTTCTGTCCAGATTTTCACTGTTTGAAAAATGGCAACCCTAATTTGGGCCAGTAACTATTTCTCAGCCAAACCTCTCTGAGAGGGACATGGTGAAGATAAAGAGAATTGGGTGGGGGCACAAGAGATGCATCCTTGATCTCTTCAAGGAAGGACAAGATAAAAATTAACGATGATTATATTAATTTATTATCATTTCTATCATCTGAAGTGCCATTTGAATCAGGTACTTCCAGGCTCACACATGTGCTCCTGGTGATTAAGCTGCACCAGCTCTCAATAACACAAAATGAGGATTCCTATAGTAGATCTCCTACTAAGCTGGCAATGTAAACAGTTCTTCTTCTTCTTCTTCTCCTCCCCCCCCCCCATTCTTTATATTAGCACCATACTGGATTCTCAAATTAAGGCATTGCTTAAGGACAGACTTTAGGCCCATTTTACAGGTTTGACAAAGAGTGTGCTAATCAACAGGGGCTTTTGGTCAAGCACAGCTCTCTGCTAAGTGTACATATGCAATTGGTGTTTCTGAATCCCTGGTGGCTGCACAGTACATGCTGCTTCCTATCAAACTAGGTGGTCAGGTAAATGTAGCAAATGTGACAGTAGCTTTTAAGTTAATTCCACACATTTTTAGATAAAAAGCTATGCCATGCAGAAGTTCCTCAGCCTAGAAAACCTGATGTCAGCGAGAGGACAGGGTTGGAACTTTTCTCCCTGGCTTCCAATTTTGTATATGGAACCGGCCGAGCTCAATACATTTTGGCACCTAAGTCAAACCAGAAAATGGTGCCCCCTCCAGGATCTGCATCAGGATCTGCTGCCTCTTTGGATCCTGCTACCTGAGGTGGTCACTTCACCTGGCCTCATGGGTGGTACAGAAAGACATTTTCAGATGGAAGAACATTCAGATCTTCAGTGTGAATAAAATTGGGCTATACAGATTGGCCACATTGGTAAGAAATATGCTCATGATGTCAGTTGAGCTGGCCTTCCCAAGATTCTAATCCAGTTGGGTAATACACACAAAATTTCCTGACAGACTGCACAGTTTACTTCTACACATCCATTTGGGTTTTGTTAGGAGTCACATAAGCCACCATGTCTAGTGGCGTGTGAGCATCATGGTTTGAAATGGAATCTGCCCAAGCTGTTTCCTAGACTAGCTGTCAGAAACAGCATCACCCACTAAAGAATTCCATTTCATTTTTCTTTGCCTAAATATAGTTTATTGAAAAAGAAAAGAAAAACCAGACCAGTGGTAAAGCTATGCATTTTCTGCAACATTCAGTGCCAAATAAATATAAGCCCGCATTCAACATGAATAATGCAAAGCATCACATTTATGCAAATGCACTTACAGCATCCAAGCTAACACAACTTCCATGTTTTATTATGAATCTACTTTTAATTTTTTGGGTTTTTAAAATATTCATTATTTGATATTTATATGGCAAACAGAAGTGTGCAGGAAGAAACCATTGAACAAGTAGAAGAGAGGCAGTTGTGAGATTAAGCACACTAAATTCTGTATTAGATGGTGGTCTAGAGTTTTCTTTTATTTACAAAATATAGAAGTCATAGAAAATTTACTGTATGTAGTTCATTCAAAATTCTAATCACAATTATTCATAATTAATAAAAATGCAAAAGATGGCATAGCATATTATAATTTCTTGCTACAAAAAAATCAATTATTCACTCATTGATCACAACAAAGGAGGGGTTTACAAATGTTTGCATAGTATCTTGGAATTTGTTGTCCAAAATGTCACAAATAAGACCCCCTTTTCATAAAACAAATAGTATTGCTCTCCCATTTCCTCCAAAAGTAGGGACAACAGCAATGAGCCATTTTTTATATATTCCAGTCCAAAAAAGGAAGGCTCCATTTGGCCTAAATCTTTATTACCTTTGCAGGACTCTTTTCACATCAAGAAGCTTGAGGACTGGAATCTATCCAAAGAGATAGATTAATATTTGGCTAAAATTGGCAGTACTTTTACATTAGTGGCAAATTGTTTTGCATACACCCTGGCTTGGATTATGCTGTGTGGACATAAAGGTCACAATCTACCTTGTGGATTGTTCTCTTGAGCAAGCCTCATTGAAATGAACATAACAATCCTTTGCTGTGTAGCTCTTGTTAATTTTATTATCTGGGCTTTCACAGAAGGAGTGTGCCTCATGAGCTTATCCACTAACTGTATTTTTTTGTGATCCTTCCACATATTCCTGAGCAATAACTTTAAGGCCCCATCCAGATTTCACAAGATATACTTGTGGGAGTCAGTGGAGAGGGGTAGTAACCATAAAGGGCCTGTCCCAAAAAAAGTTATCAGTTTCATTCTTACTATCCAAAGTGAAATTGGCAAAGCACCATTCAGAGAGCTGGAGAGGGATGAAAGAGTCCTCAGTCTACAATTTATATAACTTTCCACTTTAAAACATTTCATTATTGTTAGTAAGTCTAGATGAGTGTTGATGACATTCAAAGAATATTTTAAAACTATAATCATGTATAAAACATGTCACTATAAGGCACAGGAATAGGGGAGAGAGTACAGACAAGGAGTTGTCATGTGTTATTCTGATACTACAAATGCTAACCAAGTGGTGCCTATGACACACACAAACCGCAGCCTGGGAGCAGAACCAAATTCTCACTGCAATGAACTACTGCAATTTGAGCACTGGGAAAATGTAATAACAGTAGTGGTGCTTTAAGAGGAAATGTTGTAAGTCTGCATAGCAAATAATATGGAGTAGAAAAGCCCTGAGGTAGAGATGAATATATTCCCCTGCCCCAATCCAAAAAGACCAGGTCCCCCCCTCTAGTAACAGACATGAGCATCACACATAGGAAGAACACTGACCTAAAGGGACAATTGGTCTGAACCACGCAAGGCGTATTGTTATGGGCACAATCAAGCCAAGCTTAAGCAGTTTTAAGTCCTCCTCATTTCAATGGGAATGTTAAGCAAAGGCTTAATGAAATAAGGCAAAGGCTGGTGAAATAATTGAAATTTAAGTGTTCAACATTGGCTGGACCTTGCCCCAAGTTTTCCAAACTTCCATGTTTCCATGAGTTAATATTACATTTCTGCCCCTCGCCCCTCAGAAATGTAGTAGCAATATTGGGAGATAGTACAAATGAGTTACAAACAGGTCAAACCTCTGCTTCACTTTTGTTGTGGAAGAGTCTGGAAGGTCAACTGATGCTGAACAAGGTAGCCATCATTGAACACATAAAGTTTCCCATCTATAGGGCTGTAGTTGATACTCTGAATTGTTTCTAGCATTTTATCTAGAGTGATGCTTGTTCTGCCTTCTCTTCCTGTGTTTGTGTCATATGTGTAAAATATTTCCTCCTTCCTAGTATTGATGGGCCTTGTGGCATAGAGCACACCACACACAACAAAAGCATTGGACACGGCTGGCTTGTACTGCCTTGTTTCCCATGTACTGATCACCTCAAGAGTTGTTTCATTAAGTCTGCTAATCACGATATTACCTGTGCTAGCTTCTTTTGAGTAAATTACCCACAATCCATTCTCATCCACAGCAAAATCCAGATCTTGCCATGACACCCCTGCATATGAGAACCGATTGTTAAAAGCAGCATCTGGAAGAGTTTTCTTCAGCACCACAGTATTGGTGCTTAAATCTAGTTTGCTCATATCTCTTGAGCCATGTTGGTTAAAATACATATAGTTGTTGTAAGCAACCATGCCACTGCCCTGGCCATATAGAATTCTAAATTGATTAGAGTATCTGAACAGCAATAAATTATCAAAGGAATCATGAAGTCTATAATATTCCAGGTATCTTCCATCAGTGTTCAGTGGCGCAACCCAATAGAGCTCCTTTTCAGGGTTCAGTGGAGAGGTATATCTTCCCCAGGCACCATATTTGTAGTCAAATCCTCTCCAGTTTAGCTGAATCACAAAGGGCTGGCTGGCATTTGCAATTCCACCATGACTGCAGCTTCCTGAAACCAACCAAAAACAGAGTGTGTTGCACATATGCAGTTCAAAGATTCTGAGTATCTCTGGCAGTGAAATAACTTATGTCTCTAAAATCTTCACCTCTCACTTGCTTTGTGCCCTCAGTCACTCACCACCACTTCCTCACCCTCATTTCTACCTCCCATCCTGCTCTTGGCTAGTTATTACCTCTCGTGTCACAGGACCCTCGCTCCAGACCAGGTGTCTTGGCAACGCATCAGTTTGGAACATATCTAGAGAAAACCTATTGCAATCACGGGGGTTTCCCCCCAGAGATTAAATGAATCATTCCGGGCAAAATTGACTAAGAGTGTCATGTCCAGAAGGATGGCTGTGTTTCAGTTCTCATATTGTTTTGCAAAGTGTGGATTAAGCAGGTTTGCCTTTAAATGTGAATTGAATTGACTTTATCCACCATTCTGACTCCCAAGCAAACATATTGCTAAAACAGGAGGACAATGCATTCCCAGGGTCAATAGTATTGAAAAGAAATGGTTGTTAACGTAACAACATCAAGCATTTATATAACACTTTAGAGAGTTTCTAGATGGGGGGGGGCAACCTGTGGCCCTCCAGGTATTACTAAACTACAAAACCCATCATCCCTGACTATTGCCCATTCTAGCTAGGGCTGATAGGAACTGGAGTCAAACAACTCCTGGAGGGCCATAGGTTCCCATCATTGCTCTAGACAAAACATATTACCATTTGGCAAAACTGCTTCTAGGCTGTACTATTTCAGAATGCACAGGAGAAGGGCATGATAGAACCTCCACCTCCGAAAACAATAAAAAACACCTGCACATAGAAAACTAGCATGTCAGGTAGAAAGCTAAATCTTGTCCTTTAATATGCAATCCTCTACCTGCAATATGAAGTTGTGGAGTTCAACCTCCTGATCTGATTGTAGTGAGTCTATAAGACAAATGTCACTCAGGGCTCATCCACACTTCCATTTGTTCCTGGGAAAACCCAGGGACCCATGCTTTCTAGACATGGGGCAAGTGGAAGTGTGAACGAGCCTTTAGTCACCCTTACAACAGCTCAGGCCAGTGTTGATTGCTATCCCCAGACTATTGATGGGAGAGTTGCCAAATCCAACCCTGAGAGAGTTCATGGTAAGGCAAAAACTGAACTGGGGACTGCCCAACTCACATGCAGTCAACATGATCTCAGCTCTTGGCATACCTACACTTCTGTACTTAGAGTTATATATACCTCCATCAGCACAATACAGGAATATAATATGTAGTTTTATGATCCGGGTTTACTGCTAAATGTTGTGCCACTTACCAGCTCGCTAAATCAATGGGAGCTCTTTACACAGCAGAGAAGCCACTATAATTTATAGTTTGCCCTTAACTGTCAACACATTATGAATTAGTGCACCTAAATCAGTAATGTTATTTTCAAATTAAATGCTTATTAACGGCATGCATAAATCTGCAACTTACTTTTTAAAAAGCTGCAAAAAAGATATAAAAATGTCCACAGCAAGTTGCAGAGATTCAGCCTAAAATAATTTTTCATGTCATTAAACCAAGCATGGATCTAGCTTCATCTTAATAATTCATGCATTGTTTCATAAATAAAAAACAATCATGTATTCAGCCAAAAGGCTTTTTATGGTACAAAAGAAATAAGAAGATCTTATTTTTCCCCTTAAAGAGATCTCTTTCCTGAACATTTGTTTGTTCTTTACTTATGAAATAATACATGAATTATTAAAGTTAGAAGTGGGTTTGGTTTATTAACATCAAACATTGTTTGAGGTTCAATATCCAGTCTAGGCTTTTCTTTTTAAAAACAAAACAGCCTTTTCAACATGCACACAACATGCACACAAATAGTCAGGGTAGGTTATGCATTTCTTGTACTAGATCTGAATACTGTGTTGCTGTTGAGTTTCTTCAATGTAGGCATACTGAGCAGAACAGGGTGGGGTGGAGGGGAGTAGAAGAAAACAAAGCATCCTCTCACTTTGTAAATATTGGAAGGCATAAGAAATAAATGTACATCCATTATTCAAGCTGTCACTTGTTTTCAAAGCTTGACCATGGGACAGCATGCATGTCAATGCAGGGGAGTTAAGAAATGTTTCACACACAACTAGGGGAATTAGCAGATATATGTTCATATACTTAGTAAACTCCTGTGGTCCCCCACAATATGCTGGAGCCATGCTAGTCTTTCTTTCACCTCAAGTATAACTCACAGATAACGGGGACCCCTCATACTTTCCCATGACATGTACACAGTCATCAGGAAAAGCTTAGCAAAGCACTTACAAATTTCAGGGAATCTCAGAAGCACACAGCATATTCACACACATGTACCCACAATCCTTGCAATGTTTGAAGGGGCACTAAGAGAGTATATGGGTGCTTTTCCAGATACTGAGGACTGCAGTTCTGGGAGAGGAACCAGGGATCTTTCTTCCCTTTCTTAAACGGCAAAGACTGAAAGTCATTGTGGTGGAAGTGATTTGAGCACAAGCCTTTGCCCTGAAAGACAAATGCTTGAAGTCATCTTCAAGCACTACATTTTGAGCTCAGGAAACCCAAGAGTGGGACAGGCAGCAGGGACATATCCACGAGCTGCATCCCTCTGTCACCTTTCCCATCACCTTTTAGCACAGGGAAAGCAATCTTCTGAAGCAGGGAGACTTCCATACATGCTTTTCAGATCCCTGGACAAACACGGCTCTCAAAGGTTTTCCCAAAGCACAGCAGGCTCCCTGCTTCAGACCACCTTCTGCAAATTGGAAGGAAATGAGCATACTCCTCTCTGGACCCTTCTCACGTACTTGCTAAACCATCAAGGCCATCACCAAACAAAGAAATTTTAAGCACTTTCATTATTCTCAGGAGTCTTTGAAGTACCGTAAGTCATGAAAGCTAAAGCAGGATAAAACTGAAATAAGCTTAATGAGATCCATGCTAAAACACTCTTTCTTGCTCTTTCCTGAATTGTCTAAGTCTAAGACTTAAACTGCAAGAGGCTTTCATCATAACTTTACATGAAGGGAAAGGGAGAAGGGAGAAGAGGTGGAGACAGACAGGCAGGTGTCACTAGCACATTAGACTGCTTTAGGCAACAGCTTCCCAGAAACAGGACAGGTGTAGGCATGGGCATAGCCAGGGGGCAGGGGGGCATCCGCCCCCCGTAAATCAATCAAAATCTCTACAAATCATTACACATGTGAGGTTCTCCCTCCCCTAACAAAAGCCTGCCCCCCTAACAAAAATCCTGGCTACAGCCATGGACATAGGATAGCTCCATTAAGATTCCTACTCAGCCCTGAAGCTCATTGGGCATAGAATCATAGAATTGTAGAGTTGGAGCAACCCCTAGGGTCATCTAGGAATCTTTTGCCTAACATGGGGCTTGAACCCATGATCCTGAGATTAAGAGACTCATGCTCTACCAACTGAGTTACACCAGCAACCATTGGTTACTTCTCAGTCTCACAGGAAAGTCTAAATGACATTAGACTTGTAAAACACTTTTTCACATTAGAAAACACTACAGGAAAAAATAATACCCTGCCATCTTATCTATAAGGTGTGCATGTGTAAAGAGGGCAGATGCACCTACAAGGCAGCAGCTCCCTTTTTTGAAACAGGTGCACTTGTTCATGGCATTATAATCATGTTTACAGTAGTCAGTGGCCATGCTAGAAGTCAGAGGCATATCAAATATGCTTTTATTTAGCACTGATCTACAGTGAAGTAATTGTGTAGATAAGACAAAAGGCTATTTTTGGAGGGGAGAATTGTTAAACAGATGAAAATGTCAATGATTTGCCAAAATGTTCTTCAGAAAATGAGGGTGTAATTCAGTATGCCAAATGCTTTTTTCTTCCTTGGAATGAGCATTGAGTTAGAAATTTGCAAGCAAAATGGAGGACATATTTTGTTTTAACATTGCTGCAAACTAGGCTAATCCACTCTATTGAGCACAGCCACAAGAGAAGCTTTACAACAGAGCATCTCACGAGGTGACTTTCTAAAGCTCTGCCATAGCCGTTAAACTTTATATAGTCTCATTAGATTCATAAGCTTAGACAGCTCTGGGATTTCCTAGGCACTCTTCACACTCGCCACAAAATATCAAGGAAAGAGAGAGGAGAAAAAGGAAAGCACTGGAATCAGGACAAAAAAATCACCCAGTTTAATACAAACATTATAAATATAAGATGAACCCAAAGCAAATGGAAGCCAAATGGGCTGGCAGATATACACATGGAGCTAAGTTTGCTGGGAGAATGTACTTAACTATCTGCTCTCACCTGCTTTGATGAGTGCAAGGAAGCTGTAAACCCACAAAGCCCCCACCCACTTAGAAAGCAAGGGAAATTACAGGGTCCTCCTGCTCCCCAGCTAACTGGGTGTTGCAGTCAAGTCAGGGGCAAATTAGAGATTACATGCAAATGTAGGTAACAATAAACCCCCAACAGCCTTGTTTTAAAATAATATGGAAAAGTAGCCTTGCTGTGGAGGGCAGTAATTTTAAACAAATTAGTGGCAGACTAGTTTCTTTTGTTCAGACTTACTCTGACTGCTTTCCCCCATACAGATGTATATTTATTGTGAAAGCTCATCCAGCAACCCCCCCAAAAAGGATGAAAATACAGCTAGTGGGAGAGATTTTTGTGTGTTGGAAAATGACTAGTGCAAAAAGCATAGAGCCTCTCCCCCTGCACACACAACTCTGTGACTCAAAATTCAAGTTTTTTAGCTGTTTCTTGAAGGCGAGTAATGCCCTTTCTGGGCTTCAGAGGTGTTGTTTCAGATCTTTTGTATATGTGTGTATGTTTTAAATCTCTCTCTCCCCAGCCCCACTTGACCTGACAGACAAAAGGGTTCCTCATCCTTCAGAGAGAAAATGCAGCTGCTGCCTGAAAGGCAAGTAAGTTCAAGAAGGTGTTTTGAACAATGAAACTTTGTCTTCCATCACTTTATTTATCCTTCTAGCAAGGAAACAGAAGCATGTGGTGAACAAAAATAATAAGATCTTTCTGAGATGAATTGCCCTTCATACAAAACACGTAACTTTTTTCCTGACCCACTTTGTACCTTATAATCCAGGGACTGTTTCCTGTGGGCCTCTAGATATTATTAGACTACAAATCCCATCCTCTCCAGCCACTGAACACGCATGTTAGGACAATGGTGGCTGCAGCCCAACAACACTGGAGGGTCACAGGTCCCCACAAGCATGTAAAGTACCAGAGACTGTCCCATCACGAGGGAATGGGCAGCAGCCGCCTACTCAGAGGGCAAATCCTGGGTCCTGTGAAAATGGCAGCAGAGATAGTTCAGCAGAATGGTGTGCTGTTCACCAGAAGATTTTCTGAATAAGCCCAACTGAGATGAAGGGAGCCGTCCAAGAGCATAACAGAAGCTACTACACTACCTGATGGGTCAGGGGTCCCTGTTAATCTGTGGTCATTGAAGTGTCTTCTACACTTTGCCATGGTGATTATCTGAGACTGATTTCCCTTATGGCCCATTTCATTAGCATACTGCAAGCATACTGATAGTGCAGGAAATGTATTTCCCAAGATTGTGATGAGCAGGAGATCACAAAGGCAGTTTCAGAAGAGAGTCACTGCAGAAAGATCAACAAGATCTTCCATTATGTTATGTAGATAACTTGAATGTATTAAATTCTGGCATCAGTGAGTTATCACTGAATCTTGCTACCTCTGACAAAGGTCCCCCGCCTCCAAAATTAGGAGCCATTCTGGAATGTGGTAAGAGTCATTGAGGTAAAGCTCAACGGTTGGGTAGGGTGGGAGACTCATTCAGGAACCTTGTAAGCAATCTGCTTAATAAACTGAAGTCAAAATTTTGACCGTTCTTTGTACTTTTGACAAGTGGGGAAGTGTTTTATTCCAGCATTTTTCTGCGCATTTTACCATGTGGCTTCATTTAGGTACCAAGTCATGTCTCAGTGTTTTTTAGAGTTGCAGTCACACACAACCTGGAACAATCTAAGGGGTCGGGAGCCTTTGGTGTTTTTTAGAGTTGCAGTCACACACAACCTAATCATTATCAGGATTGGTGTTGCAGGCCAAATTTGACAGGTGGGAAAGGCCACCCACTGTCAATCACATGATGTCACCATGCCATCCAGTGCCAGGTGTTTTGAAGTCCCAAACCTTCCAAGGTGCTGCTGAAATTGAGGCCTCCCCCTTCCTTTTAGAGTTCAAAAGGGCTTACTTCTGGTTGGTTAGGATATTATTTACTTATTTACTTTCAGAAGCATTTTAATCCCTGTTTCATTGCAAAATGAAGAATTTCTCCATTAACTGCCTGGTCCTCCTCCTCTCTGCTCTTTTTCTCATTCACTGCAAGGAAGGATGAAAATGGCCACAGTGTGACATGCTGAGGGCTGGGCAAAGAATACTAAAGATAATTCATTCACAATATATGTAACAAAATGAAAAGTTTTCAGGAAAGAAGCCTCAGATCTAATTATTTACCCTGCCCTCCAAGAATGGAAAATATGAAAATATACTTCTGCAACATACGTTCCATCATCTAACAAAACAAATACTTACCAGGAGGGATGTAGTGGCTGGTGGTGCTCTGGTTTGTATTCGCTTCACATTCTTGCAATTTATTCTTTAGAGCCAGAATTTCTCGGCGGACTGCAAGGATGTTATGCTTATCCAGCGATTCCAGTTCATTCACCATAAGACTCAAATTCTTAATCTAGGCACATAAAATGGTAGGAGTGACTTTTGGTTATGCTCAAGTTTGTTTTGCAAACTCATTTTTGCTGATATTTTAATAAAGGATGTTACCAAGAGTGCAGTAAGTACAGTGGTACCTTGGGTTAAGTACTTAATTCATTCCGGAGGTCCGTTCTTAACCTGAAACTTTTCTTAACCTGAGGTACCACTTTAGCTAATGGGGCCTCCTGCTGCCGCCGCGCCGCCGGAGCACGATTTCTGTTCTCATCCTGAAGCAAAGTTCTTAACCCGAGGTACTATTTCTGGGTTTGCGGAGTCTGCAGCCTGAAGTGTATGTAACCTGAGGTACCACTGTAATTAGAAATTGTGCATTTCTAACAATAAATTTTATGCCATCACCATTAATGTAGATAGATGTATGACAGGTGCTCAGTGTCACATAGAAATCTTTTGGCTTTAGCAAATAGCTTAGGGTAAGGTTACTAATTTGCTTTAACTTCCTGTTTTGTTTTGTGTGCATGGTTTTGTTCTTTTACTGTGAAGTGCCTTGAACAAAATGAGTGAGCGATTGGATGCAAATTTATGAATTCTTTTCAGTGCTCAGTGTGGGAATAGTTACTAATTTTTTTACAGAGCAGGCTACTTGTGGAGCTTTGATTGGTCCATGGTAATTATTCTGGACCACATAGCTCCCATTTCCTCCTTAGGGCCTGGATCCTTCTCCCCCTTACTCTTGACCCTTATTCCAGCCCCACTGTTTCATCCTTGACACTTTTCTCTTATTCATGGATCAGCCATATTTTCCAGTCCTTGTGTAAACTGGCTAGGAAGGGAGGGAATAATTTCTACCTTTGGTTATATGTGCATAATTTCAGGAGAATCATATTAAAGCTACTGGAGATTTTATCAGGAGAAACTGTGGATCTTAACAAAGCTTTTACCATACCTCTCCATACAGCTGCTCAACAATCACATTGCTTCCCGTTAGCGTACTTTTCAGCTGTGTGACTAGCCTCTCCATTTCACTGATTTCCAGTTTCATCAGTTGGAAGTCCAGTTCAGTGTAAGAAATGCTCATCTTCTCCATGCGCTCAATCTTGATGGTTAGGTTTACAATCTTTTTTTCATACATTGCAATTTCTTTGGTGTACTTGGTAATCTATACATATACACAGGAATGTATTCCATTTTAGAAAATGTATTTAAGATACCTTTTAAAAAGATAAGTTTTGCCCCACTGCACCTCTGTAATCTCGCCAAGATCAAAATATGATTACTTGGGTACCACTGAGCACAGAAGCTTATATAACATTGCTGTGGATTCTGGTCTAAAAATAAAGACAAAGATTACAGATAAATGACATAGATAAAGAAGAATGTCTGCAGGATAGGGAAAGTGTAATCACTGTTCAGCTACATTTTTCTCAGTGGGTTTTAATTTTTATTGAGTTCAACAGAAAAGTGCCTCCAACTGTGACAGAATGACATAGATGATCCTTATCCATACTTTAAAAAAAATATCTGGTGAATTCATCAATCAAGTGCAATCGATCACAAGAGCTTTTAGGCAGAAATACATTTACATAGATTACCTACCTTACCAATTGCAGGGGCCAACACTGCATACACACGCTACTTTCTATATCTAAAGATGTTTTGGAAGCCTGAGTACTGAGTATCCATGGAAATTAACTAGGTAAAGTCCCATTCTCGGAACCAGATGCCCCTAGGACAAGGCAGAGAACCCCAAGAGTCCCTGTCTATAACTACAGACGAAATGGATGTATAGGACACATGATCTGCATTACAGCTTTCCTTTTATTTCACACCAGTTAACTATCATGGTATCACCTATCACAGGGAAGGGAAGAAGTTTGAACCACCCAGTTCAAGTTGGTTGCTGAGATTCCTGCAAAGCATGTAGAACTAAATAGGCCTTCACAGAACAGCAATTAGGGAGTGGGGCTGGTTGAATTTTCAGGAGGGTTAGGGGAATGAAACCTGGAAGAATGTGAACTCAGGGTGTATGGGAACATCATAGTAAAAAGTAAAAAGTAAAAATGAACAATGTTTCACAATCATGACCTTATAATTAGATTTAGATTATCACCAAACGTATCATTTGTACAGTTCTGTTAGCTGAGTACATGTGGTGAACAATCCAAAGCCATACAGGTTCTTTTCGGGTCATGTCACCCTCTAGTTAACCCTTCAGATTGTGATATTTAATAGGTTTTCAGGATGATTGACTGTGTAAAAGAAATCCTCAGCATTGTGATTCCAGTGTGAGATTACAAGAGGACATACCGGTGCAATGTAAGCACGTCTCAAACAGATGCTTCGAAGTGTAGTGCCTGGGGCACCTAGCCATTTTCAAGAACAGTTATGCATTTACAAGATCCATCAATCATTTGCTGCTGGAAATAATAAGAAAGGTGATGACTTGAATAATGTTTTTATATAGAACAATAACAAATGAGGTTGCATTTATTTTATGTCTTTACCAAATGACCTCAACTATGAAACAGAAGCCTCAAAAAGCTCTTTATTTTTCCTGTATAAACAATTCTCTTTAACACCCCTGTAGAAAAGCTTTGTTTTCATGTCTGACCCGATCTGTTATCTGCCAAGATTATGTCAGAGGATGTGTCGCTCTGCATCTAGCTTGAGGGTTTGTTGCCCTGCTAGGCTGAATTGTCCAGCTGGACTGCGGAGCTGCAAAGGTTTGGGGCAGGGCTGGGGGGTTTCTTTTTCCAGCTACCATAACTTTAATCACATAGTGCTCCACAGGAGAACAACACTGTTTGGTTTCAGAAATTTCATTGTTTAAAACTATCCTTAAACAGCTTTCAACTGGGAAGACGACTTTTTCTGTAATCACTTATTTTGCTGAATAGCTCAAGATAATTCGCTAGTAAGCACAAATGATTAAAATGATTTTTAAAAGTTCCTATCAAAATTATTCATGTAGGTTGTTAAATTATTTTTGTAGTCCTACAAGTGGGACCCCATTAAGAATGAAGCCAATGGCTGATTTTAGTCCTTGACCATCCCTTCTTAACTTCTGCAAGAAATCTGTCACTGCTGGAATAGATGACCCTCTATGATTATGCGATTCTCAGTCTGTTGTCTGATTCTTTGTGAAGTCAGGTGAGAAAGCCTTCACAGCCTAATTCCTATACTTCCAATTTTTCTGTTCAGGATGGGATTTTAAACTTTATTCAGGCCCATATTTTAAATGTATGTTCAACTCTCATACATGGGCCCTGGAGGAATAAATTGCAATTAATATATCCTCTCCTGCCTATTAAATCCCATCCCACAGTTAGAGAGGTGGACCTTTGGGTGACAAGGAAATCAAAGGTGTGCTAAACAAGAGAAGGAGATGGCAGAGAAGCTGAATGAATCACTTGCATCTATCTTCATAGAAAAGCCTATAGCACAGATCTCTGTGCCTGAATAAACTTTCAGTCTGAGGAACAAATAGTGGTTACAAGAGACAAAGTTCTAGATCTTATTGAGAAAAAAAAACCTAAAAAAATCTGGAAGTCTGGATGTTATCCACCCAAGAGATCTTAAATGACTCAAACGTGAAATTGCTGTCAAAATATTTTTTAAAAACTGAAACGTATGTATGTATGTATTGTATGTAAGGGACGCGGGTGGCGCTGTGTGTTAAACCACCGAGCCTAGGACTTGCTGATCAGAAGGCTGGCGGTTTGAATCCCAGCGACGGGGTGAGCTCCCATTGCTTGGTCCCTGCTCCTGCCAACCTAGCAGTCAAAAAAGTCAACTAGATAAATAGGTACTGCTCTGGCGGGAAGGTAAACAGCGTTTCCGTGCACTGCTCTGGTTCGCCAGAAGCGTCTTAGTCATGCTGACCACATGACCCGGAAGTTGTACGCCTGCTCCCTCAGCCAGTAAAGCGAGATGAGCGCCGCAACCCCAGAGGTGGCCATGACTGGACCTAATGGTCAGGGGTCCCTTTACCTTTATGTATTGTATGTAGAGAGAGAGAGGGAGAGAGAAATATTGCTGACCTTCTCACAAAAATATTTAACTTGTCTCTAAGATCAGCCTCTGTACCTGAAGACTAGTTAGTGGCCAGGGTAATACCGTTTTTTAAAAAGGATCCAGGCTGGATCCAGGGAACTACAGGCTGGTTACATTAAAACTGGTGAAAAGCATTGTTAAAGATAGAATTACCAAGAATACAGATGGAAGTCCTGCTGAAGATGAACAAACTGGCTTCGGCAAGGGTCAGTCCTGTCTCACTAACTTACTACTACTACTACTACTAATAAATTTTTATTATACCCCGCCCTCCCCAGCCAGAGGGCGGCTAACACCAATAAAATTACAATAAAACATAATGGGGGAAACCCAGTTTATTAAAATACGGGTTAAAATACCATTTAAAATGCAGCCTCATTTTAATAGTAGCCCATAAATCAAAACCATAAGGGGAGGGAAACATAAGGGTCAGACTGAGTCCAAACCAAAGGCCAGGTGGAAAAGCTCTGTCTTGCAGGCCCTGCGGAAAGATGTCAAGTCCCGCAGGGCCCTAGTCTCTTGTGACAGAGTGGGGCCAGTACTGAAAAGGCCCTGGTCCTAGCTGAGACCAATCTAACCACCTTGCGGCTTGGGACCTCCAAAGTGTTGTTATTTGTGGACCTTAAGGTCCTCCACAGGGCATACCAGGAGAGGCGGTCCTGTAGGTACGAGGGTCCTAGGCCGCATAGGTCATAGTGGACAGCTTTCAACCCAGTGTATGGCAGCTGTGAAAGATGCAAATTCCATGCAAATGATCATTAGGAAAGGAACTGAAAATAAATCTACCAGTATCATAAGGCCATTATACAAATCTATGGCATTACTGTACCTGGACAGTTCTGGTCACCTCACCTGAAAAAAGGATATTGTAGAGTTGGAAAAGTTCAGAAACTGGCAATCAAAATTATCAAGGGGATGGAGCACCTCCCTTAGGAGGAAAGGATACAACATTTGGGGCTCTTTAACTTAGAGAAAAGGTTTAAGGAGTAAGGAGAGAAATGACAGAGGTCTATAAAGTTACGCATGGCAGGCATAACACTATAACCCATGGACCATCCAGTGAAGCTGAATGTCAGAAGATTCAGGACAGAGAAAGGAAAGGACTTCTTCACATGTGGCATTATCAGAGGTGCCAATTTGCGGGTGAGATTGAGGGGGCAGATGTTGTGCGTGTGACATCATGACATTAAGTCAGCATATGCTTCAATGTTGGTCCAACATTTCTTGCTCTCTCGCCCGCCCAACACCACTGATGCCTCTTCACATCTCGTACCCCCATACCCAAACCACAATGCCACGGCCACAGCCACTTGGTCTCTTGCACTGCCCCCCCATACCTAAGGTGGCTAAGAGAAGGAGTGCTGGCACCGATGCCACGCTTCTTCTCTGCTGGGCTCCGGTGCATAAGGGGGGCAAGGGCAGCCCCTGAGGGGAGAGTATCCTTGTAGCAGCCAGTGATGTACTTCAAATAGCTTGCGCCTCAAAGTGCACTTCCAGAGAAAGTCAATCCAGACCTGCCAGCAGATTTATGTTTCTGCAATGTTCTTTTAAATAAACTCTACATATTGACTTTCTGTGGGTAATAGAAGAATCTTACAAATGAAATGGAACAACATAGAGGAGATAAAGTTCAGTGTGTAGTTAAAAATGTAATGAGGGTAACACAATGGGTGAATCGGAGGTCATGGTGAATTTAATCACCAATCGTTTTTCTTTTCTTTTTTCTTTTTTTACAATGTGTATTAATCATGGATTGAGTACTTAGTCATTGGAAATCAAAAATAGAAGGAAATAAACATTTATGTTACTTAGTATGTAATACAACAAAGCATTCAAAACTAAAAAAAAAAAAAAAAGGAAAAAAGAAGAAGTGCACTTCCGGAAGTGCAGCCTGGCTTCCTGAAGGATATCAGCAGCCTTAGCCGGCCTTGGTGGAGGCTTGGCAGCAATCGAAACAGGAGATCATGGATTGACATCAGAAGCCGAGGCAGCTTCTGTCAATCAGTGATGTCCCTGTTGGCAGGAGGAGGAGCAGGAGGCGGCTTTGTGCTCGGCCTCTTCTCCCTCTCAATATGGAGAAAAAAATATTGAGGGGGCTGAAGACACCTCTGCCCCTAGTAGTTGGTGCTATGCTGCATATATATACTGTGGGATTCACTCACACAAGAGGCAGTGATGGCACCTACATGGATTAGACAAATTTATGGAGATTCTTGGCATCTAGGGCCAGATCGTCCACTATCAGTTGGTGTTTCCTTGCCCTGGCTCTTCATGGTTCCCATTCAGCCAACACAACTCCTTCCTGGGCCAGGATCCTCTCTTCTCTGCAGACAGGGACATTCGTCAACAAGAGGACAGAGGTGAACATATGTAAGCCTCACCCTGGGCAGGTGTGTCATAATTCCTATTACTTTAAAGAAAATTGTTTAAGCAAAAAACAAATTTTCCCAGAGGACTGTCTCTGTCTCCACCACCTCCCTGTTGTAGATTTTTTTTTTATGCTTAAACTTCTTATCTCTTCCTGATTATACTGTTAGAAAGTTTATTAATATTTATGGCCAGAATTTATAATTTAGTGTTCTGTCTTTCCTCCTGATTAATTCAAGGACACTTCATTTGTTACGACGTCTGGTTCCTGGAGCAGTCAAATAATTTCTCCTGGACACCTAATTGAAACCCTGCATATTTTTCATCAAGCAGCCAATGTCAAATGCTGGTTCTTGGCTGCATGAGGTATTTCCACCCCCAAACCTCACCCACCCCCACTTCCTCGAAATTACAGATGTTGGGGCTTATTTGTGGGGCTTTTAATGAATGTTGCAAGGGAAAGGCAGCAGAATTCCTATAGCAAACCACAAAACAGCAAAAGGCTAAGCAGCTTTGCTTTAATTAGACAGCCTCATGACCACATGAAAACAACCCACTGTTGTGCAGCTTCACAAGGCAGAGGGAGCTGTTGAATCCCCCACCTTCAGGTCTTGCAATATTTTCAGACAGAAAGGAGGAGTATCAGGTTATTATCACCCTTCTTTTGTGTGAGAAGATCCACCTTGCTTTCCCCATAACTACCTGCCACAATAATAACAGGAGCTTCCCTTGCCGTTACAGTAAAAGGGAGGCTAATCAGTATGTTCTGTATCCACAGACACCCCCCAACCCCAGTATGTTAAGCAATATGCTTAATGTGGGGCTCTCAACCAAGGAAAACATTTCACTTGATTAACTGGCTGCTTTTTAACCTCTGATTTTATTAATTACGCCTGCACAGAACCTCAGGACATGTGCCTTTTTGAAAGTTAAAGGAAGTATAGGTTACAATGCAACGTGACAAAGCTAACTCTCGTTCTTTGAAGGAAAGGCCATTTTTAATCTTTTCCTTTGTGTTTCTGACTTCTGTTCAACCCCATGGCAAGTTCTGTTTTGTCTCCCATGCTAGTCAACATCTATTTTAATCCATTGGATGACCTCATCTGGATATTTGAAGCATGTTACTATCAGCATGCTGATGAAAGTCAACTCTTTCTCTTCATACTATCAGTCAGGGAACTGACATCGGAGCTAGAGGTGGAGGGGAGGCTCTCTAATGATGCTGGAGAAGGGCCCAGCAGGGAGAGAGGCAGCTCAGCAGATGGGGAAGCAATTCAGTGCAACACCAGGAATAAGGAGGGGCAGATGGGGAATCGGCGAGAGGGCTCCCAGACTCTTCACCGGACACCAGCGGGGAGAGCACTGGTCCTCCGCTACCCACGCCCTCCCTGCGCAGGAGACTTCCGCGCAGAGAAAGTAGGAGGAGTCTGGGTGTCAAACAACTTTTATGTTGGAAAAGGTTTAAGAAACGCCCACTGACGGATTCTGCTAGCGACTGAGGCAGCCATGAATTGAAGGGCGGTCCAGACAGAAAGGTTTAACAAGGCAACATAGCCAGGAGAGGCGGCAACTTACGCATGAGCAACCCCATACCATTATACTATCCAAATCAGAAAGGGCTGTGCAAGTGCTGGAATGATACCTGAACACTGGGATGGGTTGGATGACAGCCAGTAAACTGAGGTTGAATTCTGATAAGACAGAGACTCTGGTGATAAATGGTTCCAGTTCCAAGAAATAGGTGAATGTCATGTTCCACATAGGGTGCCACTCCCCCTAAAAGAACAGGTTTGTAGTCTGGGGGTGCTTCCAAGGTGTAGGTGCTCATGTGGCCTGAGTGGCTAGGCTCAGCTTTGACTGGTTTGCTAGCTGCACCTGTCCTTGGAACAGGGTGGCCTATCAGTCACCCAGAGCTCTTATGCGAGGGTGTGGCATAAGAAATAAAATGATAATAGCAACACTGCCAATAACACACCAGAATTATAACAGCAATGATCAAGTGGTCCCTTAATTCACAGGCTATCTGATTAAGATTATCTGATTAAACTGCAGGAGCCAAAGTCTTAGGTGCTTAATCAAACAGATTAAAGCCTGCAGTTGCCAATTAGACCAGAAAAATATAGAAGGTTGTGTAACGTCACTGTGCACTATCTACTGAGAAGTTATTCTGCACAGACCCTGTGAAACAAATGGGAGCTGATTTCTCCCTCCCTCTCTCTCTCAACTTAGTTTTAAAAAACCAGAAACTATATGTGCTGACTACAGAGGTGTATACTTTTATTTATTTTTTAAAGTAACTTACTTTTGAAAGCTCACTCTCAAATTTATTTGAGAGCTGTTGGGCTAAGATCTCAAGGCTCTCCATCTTCTGCACAGGGAATGTGGTGTCTGGTAAGAACACGGAACATCGGCAAACTTTGTGGTCATCCACAGAACCAGTCACATTAGCAAATGGCTGCAAGAAAATTGGGGTTGGGGGAAATAACATGAATGTTATACAATTATTGACACAAAAGCGTAAAAGCCTGAGAGAACAACTGGCCTGTTTGACTTCATTGGTCATTGATAAGAAACAAAATCTATTTAGTGGGTGTCATACCTGTTGAGCACTCCTTTTCCCTCTTCATGTTGTGTGCTCAAGCAAGTTCAAAGTGAAGAAAAGAGGCTAGATATTTACAGTACATCAGTAATTCCCCAAAGTACCGTACTCATAATTCTATAATTACCACACCACCATTGCTGTTGTTGTGTTGTTGTTTGACATGAAAAAGCAAAACCTGGCCCAACTCCCTGTTCCCTCGATGGAGGGGTCAGATGGGATTACCATGAGGAATTATAAAATATACATCAAGCCATCGTGTCCACGATGAAGACATTGTGTTGACTGGGTTTGATATATTGACGATAATTTCTGATTAAATCCCATAAGATTGTACATTCATGTCCTTTTCATGCCCTTTTGCCTCTACTGCCCATTCCCCTCTTCTTCACGAGTCACGTACACACTTTGACAGACAGGCAGGCGTCCTGGGTCATCTAAAGACTATGGGAAGTTTTTGTTTTTTTTTAAAGACTATGGGAAGTTTCTTTGATGTATATTAATCTAAGGATGTTAATCTTAGGGCCAGGAAACAGATCTCACATTAAGGTGATAATGGTCACTGTCCTCCTGGCCATCCCCCTTATCATGTGTACTGATTGTTTATGACCTCCGGGGTTGCTGTATTCGCTCCTTTGTAGTTTTTCATTCATTTACCCCAAAAGTATGCATGGATAACTCGTGTTTATAGGTTAACTTTCTCCCCATGTGGGTTTGTGGAAATGCTCAGAAGAAATCTGATTGGTTCCTACCAACACTCTGTAAAAAGCATTTTTGTGAATAAAAACGGCCTGGGCCAGGGGGCTGCAGACTCGGACAAGCACAGACAGACACAATTATATGCACCCTCCCAGAGTCTTGCTGTTTCAAGCCTCTGTGTGTATTCTTATTAATCAGAGTTCAATCCTTCTTTTACTTTGCAAACGCAACACCTCACACTGAACATGGCCTCTAGGCTCTGAGAAGCTGGTGGCAAATTCCACTCCTCACTCTCACTCCAGAAACTGGAGGATTCTTTTAAAATAAAAAATGGAAAAAAGAATAACTGAAGGGACTGTAGTCCCTTGTCCTGCTCCCAAAACTGTCCCCTGATTTGTCAGTGCTTGGAACTATAAATATATATTGCTTTCTCCTCCAGAACAACTGGACTCTTTGGAGCCTCCTCCACTTAAAAATGGGGACAAAAGGCCTTGTTCTGCTGCCACCAGGCCCTGGGCTGCTTTGTGCTCCTTGCCACACATAGGCCAGGCTCTGACTGTTGAGAATATTCTTGTGGGTTTTCCTATTCACCTAAAGGCAATAGCTGGCCAGAGTCTGGAAGATTCAGATTATGTCCCTCAGTGGCAGATAACTCTTAAAAGATTGTTTTAAGACGAAGAAGGAGGTAGGAAAGATACCTCCCTGCAGCCAAGGGTGATGCATTCCAAGGCATCTTGGAATGCCTTGCATGCAGTGCACTCCCACTGTGTACAAGCATCGTTAGCATCCTGCAATATGGAATACTACCTTTTGACAGGTTTTTCCCCAAACCAGATTTGGTCTGAATTGAGAAAAAGAATAACTTAGCCGCACAACAAGCTGGTAACGTGTACACAGCAAATAACCCAAGTTGAAGTTCTGAATTGGGGAGCAAGAGAGACTGAGAAAAGACACAGAACGTGCTGAGGTGGGTTTAGGCGGGGGGCGGGGCGGGGCGGTTCCTGTAAATACAAACAGTATCTGGAGATGCAGAGATGCCTTGCTGGATATTTAATGTGGGACACAGGAACTTGCTTTGTTTGAGCGCTAAAGCTGTCTACCTCCAGTTATGCTAACATTTATACATAAGCTCAAGTATGATGTAATATTGTAAGGTTCCAGTGATCCCTCTTTTGAATGGAAACTGAATATGGAGAAGTACCATGCCCTTGGATCTTCCCATCCCTCAGTGAGATGAGGCACATGTAGGCTCCTGCAACACCTGCAGAGAGAGCAGGCAAGTTCCCTAAAAGCAAATTGTGCCTGCTCCGCTAAAGAAGAGACAAGGCAGGCATAGAACAACAACAGACAGAGAAAGTCAACAGCAGCTCTGCATTCTTCTCCAGCTTCCTCTGCCTGGTGAAACCTACAGAAGTCTCAACAGAGAAAGCCTGGCTCACCTGCAGCTACTTTTCAGTCAATGACTTTTTGAAGCTAAGCCTGTGGTGGAAGGGTCATCAAGGGTCAGGGGTGGACCAGGTGCCTCTGCAACCTTGTCCAAAATTGCAGGTGCAACTCTTATGTTTCTAAACTGCTCACCCTGCGTTCTGTTTCTTGGTCACAGTTGTTTGGAATGCTGGGAACCTTCCCTGGATGAGATTAGATAGCATGAAAGAACCTAGGATTTCTCTCCCATCCCCCCCGCCTTCCTGTAAGGGTTTGCAACAGATTTATTTCCAACCAATTCAAATTTTATGGTCTTGCTTGCTATTTTTTGTGACCCAGTAGATAGTTCTTACATAATTTATATTTAGTATATTTAATAATAATAATAATAATAATAATTTTAGTAAGATGATTCATAAAACCTGTTCCAGACACTCCAAGTGTCTCTATTTTCCAGGGACATCCTTGATTTAGAGGAGCCATTCCCATTTCTGATTTGATTCTGGAATGTCCTCCATTTCCTTAGGATGTCCCTATTTTCATTGGAGAAATGTTGGAGGGTATGGAGTTATCTGACCCCTGAGCCACCTGAAGGCAATCCTTTAATGTTTAATCTTTTTTTGTTTTTATATAAGTTGGAAGCTGCCCAGGGTAGCTGGGGCAACCCAGTAAGATGTGTAAATAAATAGGAAAATGATCATTATGGAATGGGACATCCCTATTTTCATCAGGGAAATGTTGAAGGACATGCTGTTCTACTGGCTATAAATTTGGTGTCACTGAAATAAAGCCTAATTCATCCCTGCCTCCCTTTCCCCTCTTCTTACTGTGTTGTCTGCTCTGTGGTGAGTTCTAAATTGTAAGGCCTTTGGGGCAGGGTCCTGTCCTCCTGTATACTGTGATGGTATAATATAAACACCAACAGCAACACAAATATAAAATAACCCCCCACCCTTTGCTTCCCTCCTGACCTCCCCTATCTTTTGGGGGATTCTTTTTGGAAAATCTACCACAGCACTTAGTTGGGAATCAGCTGCTTTTGAACACTCTCATCCAATTTAACCTGAATAATATTGTGATGATTATGCCAGAAGGAAAAGAACTACAATATATGGAGTTAATGATAAATAATCAAGAGACATCTCTTACCCCAGTTGTTGGCCTTGCTGCAGTGACATTTGCTGCAACTGCACTTTGCAGAAGAAACAGCAGCCCAGCTGCACTGATGGACTTCATCTCCCCAGCTTGGACACATCTGATGAAGCATGAAGAGGGAAGTCTCTTTATAGTGTGGTCTGGGGATTTCCCTTCAGGGGGCTTGCGCTTAGAAGGAATTTGTGCAACTGGTTGGATGACAAAATCAGAAGTGTGAGTCACAATACCACCAGCAACTGAACAAGAACATTTATTTCATTGTTTGTCCGCAATAGTTCTTGCAAAACCCCTTTTGTTACGGCCAACATCTTATCAGGGTGATTACAGAAGACAGAAATACCATTTCCTCCTAAGGTGGGAAGTGATGACTTGGGCTAAGCGGAGCTGGGCAGTTTTCTCTATGCCTGTGGCTTAATCAAGAGCTTTCCAAACTTTTCATGTTGGTGGCACACATTTTAGACATGAATCATTTCGCTACACAGTAATTCAGTTTTACTAGCAAACAGGAGATTTTGGTGGACATACAGTGGACAGGCAGGGTTGATCTACAGGCCTGTGCCATTTATCAACCATGTATCCCCTTCAAGCACATTGAACCCTAATTAAACCCTAAATAGGCAATATGGATCAATCGCCTGCTCCACTGTGGAAATGCAAACTCTGTCAAACAAATAATTTCATATATCACAACATCCACCCCTATTTCTGGAGTAAATGTGATGAACCAAGAGCAGCAATCAACAAAGCACACCCAGGAAGGCAGATTATGCAACTGCAAACAATTATGCTCACCTTGAATGTCTTACAAGGTAAAGGCATTCTTTGAAAGAGAAATACATCACAACTAGCAATACCTATTTTGCATGCCTGGGGGATTTCCCCTACATTCCTCTCGCCCCAGCTTAGAGATTTCCCTTCTGCCTCTACCTTTGTTTGATGAATTGTAGATTCATACAGAAAGAGCCCCCAAACAGATCACAGTGTCTATATGTCCTCCTTCAACCTGTGCAGATGTTGCACTCCCAATCAGTTAAATACTACTTCTAAAAAAATATAAAATATAAAAAATAAAAAAATTCCCCCACAAAATCAGCCTATTTCATTTGTTACGATTCATAGACTACTAGAGTTGGAAATGATTCCAAGGGTCCTCTAGCCCAACCCCCTGCGGTGCAGGAATCACAGCTAAAGCATCCCTGACAGACAGCCATCCAACCTCTGCTTAAAAACCTCCAAGGTCATGTACAACCTCCCAAGGGAGTCTGTCCCACCATCAAACAGCTCTCACCATCAGAAAATACTTCCTGATGCTTATAAGAATTTATTTTCATGTAATTTGAATCCACTGGTTTGGGTCCTGCCCTCCGGAGTATAAGAAAACATGTGTGCCCCTGTGTATAAGACTACCCGCCTTTTTACATTATTTTTTAGTAAACAAAACCCTAGTCTTATACACAGAAAAGTACGGTAAGAATGCTTTTTAACAAGGAAGAAAACTTTGATTGTCCATGATTGCAAAATAGATCCTTCAAGATTTTTATTCATGGGGAACATCCTCAAGTCATTACTTTAATTCATTTTTATTTTATTTATTACATTTATATACCACCTTTATCTTCCAAGGATCTCAAGGTTGGTGTCCATGGTTCTCCTCCCCCCCCCCCAATTCATCCTCACTGGAACCCTGTACTGTAAATTAGGCTAAGAGATGATGACTGGCTCAAGGTCACCCAGTGAGCCATCTAAGTTGTATGTGAGAGTTGGAAGCAGGCTGAAGATAGAAGCCAGAGATGGGGAGCCACACTCAATTTCTGCTGGAATCCAAGTCTCTGACTGTGGCAGAAGCGAGACCTTTTGGGGAGTTAATGCTGTGAGCCCCCACCACAGTCTCCACTGTCCCTCACTGCAAGGACACTGAACCCTGTGTAAGAGCATGGAACCCCTGGATTCTCACACCACTCAGAAATTGGAATGGTGAGCAACATCTTTTTTTCCGGCATAGCACGGTGAACAGGAACATAAGTCAATATATTAAGTCAATATTTGCATTTCATTGCAATGTTCTCTTTTATTCAACACTGAGGACTGAAAAATGCTTACTGGAAAATTATGCAAGTTCTCCTCACCCAGCCCTAAAATATTTTGAAATAAGGCCAAAAGACAGAGGACACATTAACTTCTCTCTCATAGAAGCAAAAGAACATGATGTGAGGAATTTGACAGGGTACCTCCTTGCCCAATCTGTTGCAAAATGTTTCTTTTCTCAAGCAAATCAGCTTCACCCTTTTGCTAAGATCAGTAGAACAAGGAATTATCAACCAATATAGGCAAAGCTTATGGCAGGCTCTAATTACTTCTATCTATCTATCTATCTATCTATCTATCTATCTATCTATATCATCTATCTATCAATGCATGTCGTGCACAGGGCTTTTATCCAGCTAGAACTCACTGGAACTCAGTTCTGGCCCCTCTCAGCTGAGCACCATTGCCATTATAATTTTTTTTTTTTATTATTAATATAAATTTTATTTTATAACACCATACAAACAAAAAAGACAAACACAACACATTCACACCAAAAAAAAACTAAATAAAGAAATATATATATATGTAAAAAAAATATATATACTCCTGACATAAGACAACAACAAATTAACTACATTAACTACTTAACACACAACACTGACTGACTTCCCTTCATCTCGGTTTCGGAATGTGTTATAAAATTTTCTATCTGCAGTTTCTTTTCCTAAAAAAAAATTCTTTACATCACAAGTGTTATATCGCACCTACTGTGTTTTTTTAGTTTTTTTTTACCTCTGTTTCCATGTATGCCATGAATTTATTCCAATCTTTATTAAACTTTGTGTCTTTTTGATTTCTTATTTTCTGTGTCATTTTTGCCAATTCTAGATAGTCGAGTAGTTTCGATTGCCATTCATTTATGGTTGGGATTCTTGGTGTCTTCCAATTCTGCGCTATTAGAGTTCTGGCGGCCACTGTCGCGTACTGAAAGAGTGTTTGATCTTACTTTTGATTTCCTCTCCAATTATCCCCAGCAAAAAGGCTTCAGGTCTCTTTATAAAGGTATATTTAAAGATTTTTTTAGTTCATTGTAAATAGATTCCCAAAATTTTCTAATAGGCTCGCACAACCACCACATATGATAAAAATCGCCCTCCTAAATCTTGCACTTCCAGCATAATTTATCACCAGTTTTATATATTTTTCCCAGTTTTACGGGCGTTACGTACCACCTGTACATCATTTTATACATATTTTCCCTGAGGGTTGTGCATGCCGAGAATCTCATACCTTTATTCCATAGTGCCTGCCATTTATCAAACTCTATGTTATACCCAAAGTCCATTGCCCATCTCACCATTACCTCCTTTACTTCTTCATCTTTGGTGTCCCATTCGAGCAACAGGCTATACATTTTCGATAGGAGTTTTGTTTTACTTTCTAATATTTCAATCTGGAATCTAGATTTTTCTCACTTATCCCATTTTTTTATCCTCGGTCCAGATAGAGTTGATTTGATGAAATTGGATCCAACCTGTCAATTTGTTCTTTATTTCTTCATATGGCCTAATCCTCCAACCGGTCTCTGTTTTTACTAATAAATCTTCGTAGGTCCATCTTTCTCCTTCGATATTTGTTTTTTTATTGTCAGGATATCGATTGGCGAAAGCCACCAAGGGGTATTCTGTTCCAAGAAGTTGTTATTTCGTTCCCACACCTCCAGTAATGGCCCTCTGAAGATATGGTTAGAAAATCCTCTATGTATCTTTCCCTTATTACGCCATAGGTAAGCGTGCCAACCGAATCTTAAATCAAATCCTTCTAAATCTAGCAGATCTTTATTTTTATAATAATCCAATCCTTGACCCAACAGAGGCATGAGGCTTCATAATATAACTTTAAATTTGGGACTGCGAATCCTCCTCTATCTCTTTGGTCTGTGAGTAATTTGAATCTAATTCTCGGCCTTTTTCCTTGCCAGATGAATTTAGAAAGTATTTTCTGCCAGCCCTTGAATATTGATGTTCCCCTGATTATTGGTATATTCTGAAATAAGAATAGCAGTTTCGGTAATAGACTCATTTTTATTGCCGCCATTCTCCCCGACCAGGATAGCTTTATTCTATTCCAGGTATCTAAGTCCTTCCTTATTTCTTTCCATGCGGTTGTATAATTATCTTCCATCAAATTAATGTTCTTTGTCGTTAACCAGATTCCAAGGTATTTTACTTTTTTTGGTTACTTTAATTCCAGTCTGAGATTCAAGGTGGTTTTTTACCTTCTCTTCTACATTTTTAATCAACATTTTAGTTTTTGTTCTGTTTAATTTAAAACCGGATAGTTTTCCGAATTCTTCTAACAGATCTAACACCTTACTGACACTCTCTTCTGGATCCTCCAAAGACAACATAAGGTCATCAGCATAAGCTTTCAATTTGTATTCTTTCACTCCTATTTTTATTCCGCGTATCTCTGAAGTTTTTCTTATCGTATTTCTAATTATCTCTAACATCATAATAAACAGAAGAGGTGACAGAGGGCACCCCTGCCTAGTACCCTTCGAGATTTCAAAGGGTTCTGTTAAGTTATTATTAATAATTAGTTTAGCACTTTGCTGTGAGTAAATTGCTTTTATTCCTTCCAGGAATGTGCCCTCTATCCCTGTCATTTCCAAACATTTTATAAGAAAACGCCAGGATACGTTATCGAATGCCTTTTCGGCATCAATAAACAGTAAAGCTGCAGGGATTTCGTTTTTGCATTCTAAGTACTCAATGATATTTATTGTATGTCTTATGTTGTCTTTTATTTGCCTATTGGGTAAAAAACCAGCCTGGTCGGTATGGATAAGATTAACTAGGCATTTTTAAGTCGAGTCGCCATTATATCTGCATAGATCTTATAATCATTATTCAACAGTGAAATCGGTCTGTAATTCTTAATATTCAGCCTATCCGAGTCAGGTTTCGGTATCAGCGTAATGTATGCCTCTTTCCATGACGCTGGTGTTCTTCCTTCTCTTAAAATTTCGTTCATTACTTCACATAGCACTGGTGTAATAAGTTCTTCTAGGACTTTATAATACTTGGCTGACAGTCCATCTGGGCCTGGGGCTTTCCCCAGTTTCATCCTCTTTATCGCCTCTTGAATTTCCTCTGTTTTTATGGGTTTATTTAATAAATTTCTTTCCTCTTCCGATATACTGTTGATTCTGTTTTCTTCTAGATATTTTCCCATTTCTATTTCATCTTCTTCTTCTCTTTTATATAGGTTTTCATAGAATTTAAGGAAGCTCTTTTTTATTTCATTAGGGTCTTCCAAGATTTGGTCTTCTACTTTTATTTTATTAATAAGATTTTGTTTTCTTCTTTTCCTCAACTGCCACGCTAGGAACTTTCCAGTTTTATTTGCGGATTCAAAATTTTTTTGTTTCATTAACTAATTCCCCATTCTACCTCTTGATTTATTAATGTTGAATATTGTGCTTGTATCATCTTATACAGTTGCTTGTTCCCTTCATCGCTCGGCTTTTCTATCAAATTCTTTTCACATTCTCTCAATTGAGTGATTAGCTCTTCCTTTTTTTGTTCTCTCTCCTTTCTTCTTTGACTATTTTGTTGTATCAAAAACCTCTTAACACTGCCTTGCTGGCATCCCAAACTATATCCATGTTAGTCTCCTTATTAATATTTAAATCAAAATAGTCTTTTAAAGTAATTTTAGCCTTATCAATCACTTCTTCTTTTCAAATAAATAATCATTCATTCTCCATCTGTAGATACCCTGGGTCTTCCAGTTTAAGTGTAATATTATTGGGTTGTGATCAGATAGTGTTCTGGGTAGTATCTCACATTTCGACACTCTTATTGTTAATTCTCTTGATATCCATATCTGATCCAATCTACTCCAGCTCTGATGCGGCTCTGAGAAATGTGTGAATTGTTTGGTCATGGGGTTTTTGAATCTCCATATATCTATTAAATCTAAGTTTTCCTCAAGGTCAATAAACGATCTCAGAAGTTTCCCTTGATTTAAGTTCTTCCTTTTCGAGCTTCTATCTAATTCCAGTTTTGGCACTCCATTTAAATCTCCAAGTAGAATCAATTTGTGATTCTCTAGATCTAATAAAACTTGTTCCAATTTTTTGAAAAACTCCATTTTGTTTGTATTTGGCGCATAGACCGTTACCACATTAAGTTTTTCTCCCTGGTAGTTGATTTGTACTCCTAGGATTCTTCCTTCCTCATCCTTACATATCAGTTTAGGTTCCAATTTCTCTTTCACATAAGTTACCACCCCTCTTTTCTTCTTTGAGTCTGAATTGATAAATTCTATTCCCAACTTTTTATTTATTAAAATATGTTTGTGTTTTTTTGGCAACATGTGTTTCCTGGCAACAAATCACATCAATATTTTTTTTTTCCTTATGATTTTCTCAAATTTATTTCTCTTGGACTTTTCATTAAAACCATTCACATTCCACGACAGAAATTTAAGGGTCATCTCGACTAATTGCACTTTATCCTAATTTCCGATTTAAATTCTGGTGCCTCTATTTCCAATAGTTTCCACCTCTTCCTCCTCCTCCTCCTCTCCCGATCCCGCGTCCTCCGCTTCCTCCTCTGCTTCTACCTCACCCCCCTCCGCTCCCTCGGCCTCCTTCTCTCCCCTCCCTCTCCCACCTCCCACGTTTTTTTCCTCTCCTCCAGATCTTTCGTTTTCTTTACCCAGGTCTTTTTCGTATCTTCTCAAAAACTTTCCCGCTTCTTGTGTATCTATCAGTTTGAACTTTTTATTCTTGTAGAAAAAGGAAATCCCTTCTGGGAATTCCCATTTATACTGTATTGTATTTCTCTTTAGGACATTTGTTAATTGTCTATATCCTTCCCTTTTGCGCAGAATCCTAATTGGAATTTCTTTAAAGACAATAATTGGACAGCCTCCAATCATTAACTTTCTTCTGTAGCTTGTTCTTAGTATAGTGTTCCTCATTTCCAATGAGTTAAATATTACTAGACAGTCACCAGGGATTTTTTTTTATTTAATTCGTTGCGATTTCCCTCTTATTCTAAACGCACTTTCTATCGTGTACGCAACTTGTTCTTCTTTTATTTCCAACCACTTTGCGAGTTCTTTAACCATTTTCCCTCTTATATCCTCGTTTACCTCTTCCACCACTCCTCGGAATTTTAAATTAAGTTGTTTCTGATGGAGTTCTGTCATGGCTAAATTGTCCAACAATTGATCTTGCATTTTATTTAAATCTTTTACTTCTTCCTTTAATTTTTCTGTTTCTTTCTTTTGGTCTCTCAGATCTTTTTGGGTTCTTTTATTGATTTCCTCAATTATTTTTGACTTGGTTGTCAGATCTTGTACCTTTCTGGAGAGTTCTCCTACCGCACTTTCTATTTTCTTATCTATCTGTTCCTGTATTTCTCCTAATTTACTTTCCATGTGTAATTCATTTTGCTTAAATTGCACCATTGCCATTATAAGAGAACAAGGGAGGTGTTGAGTTCTGGCACCTCTTTTTCCTGAAAAATAGCACTGGTTGTGTGGGATAAAATACTGGAATTGGAAAGCAATGTGGCAAACAACTCTGTGGATGACATCCAGGTATAATAACGAGTGCCAATGTTGAAGGAAGGAAGTTGCAGACAGGTGTCCTGAACTGCCCAATGTTAGCAGCTGTGGGGCTCATTCTGGAAAGTTGCCCAGGAAGGATTCTGGCTCTCAGGCTGAAAACTTTGATCATTCCTCAAAATCCCAGTGGAGTTTAACATTTACTGCGAGAACACTCTTTGGATGCTGAAGGCCCACCCTGCCCAGTCTACCCCTCAAACCACAGAGGAAACCACAACATTAAATCCTTTTCAGTACACATCAAAAGTAGCTCCTCCTTTTCCTAACTTTTATGAGAGTTTCTGATGAACTAAGGCAGGCTGGATTATCATGCTATGTCTGTGTTTTATGAATCACATCATACTAATAGCTAGATGCCATGATTTGGGACCCAGCTGGATGCCATGACCTAGGGACAGATGTCAGGACCCATGAGCCGGGCCGGATTTATGTATAAGCTAAACAAGCTGTAGCTTAGGGCCCCACTCTCTTGGGCCGCCCCCATAAAAAAAAATTAAAGGAAGGTTCTACTGTATATTCAACACAAAAAACAGCGACAATTCGTTGTTGACAAAGGACAGCTGGACATATAAAGGGCCCCATTCCCATTACCTTCAGTAGCTTAGGCCTTCATCAAACCTAAATCCCACAGGGTCAAAACAACACGCACATCCATGCTCACGTTCTCTGTCACATTCTGCTTCCACAGAATCTATTTCTGATACCTGAGTGCTATAACTCCGAGGGGCCAGAACTCAGGACTCAGGTACACTCGTCAATTACTGTATTTTTATCTGTATAGATCCAGCCTCAGAGCCATAACTCAGAGGTGCCATAACTCAGAGGTTTGCACGTCATGTACACAGCTGACCTCAGCCTGCTGAGTGCTGAGTTTGCATAAACTCATTCCCAAAATCACAACCACAAGACATTTCCACAGTTGCAACTACAAGACCAGTTACGCCTGGCCTGGCCTGAGCTCCAGATACAGGAAGCAACTGTTCTGCAGCCAAGTAGAAGAATACCTTACTTAGGCAGGCTTTGTGCATGTGTGTTCCTTGCCAATGGTGATGCAGGAAATCATGTCTTTTCTACAATTGTATAGATGCTCTGTGCATCCTTTGCTTTACACTTGGTCTTTTGGGAAATACTGTATCCTACCAAGACTTCTTGCTGCGGCTATGAATAAACTCTTTTTATTTTTCCGTCCACTATCTCTTTATTGGCTCTGGGAGCATTTGGACTTGGTTGTGGTAACAATATGTCAAAGTTATGTTACATCTGAATATGAGCCCTATGATGTGGAAGGGTCCTCTCTATTATTTTCTAATATTATATATAATGTTTGCATGGGCATAGCCAGGATTTATTTTAGGCAGGCTGGCTTTATGGGGGGGGGCAGAACCGAGTTATCTGTGACACAATTCATCAGTTAGCTATTTTTATTTACTTATTTGTTTTACTTACTTGACCCCCTGACTATGCCCATGCACCGCTGTGAGGATTTTGTGCTGCCAAAGCTAGCTGAGATAACGCTCCAGGCACACAGCCATTTCTGTACTGAAGATTTATTGCCAAAAGTTCAAACCAGTTACAAGAGTTCAAAAAGCACATCCATCTCTTGCTCAGTCAGATGAATCGACTGGCGATCTTTTTTACTCCTCCCCCAGCAGGACCATTTCCTCAGTGCACGCCTCCTACTTCCTCTGTTCTGTGAGTGGCTAGTTCCTGGCACTGGCTCCCCCCTCCCTATTTCCTCCTCTGAGTTTGATGAGAAACTGCTGATGAGCAATTTAGGCTCTCTGTAATTGCCTCTCCCCCCCCTCAGCTCTTTGGCCGTTTCCAATTCCCTGACATCCACCCCCTCCTCAAAGGCCCCCTCCCGTTCAGGAGACTCGATCGTCCCCATTTCTCCCTTCTCCAGGGTGGCGGGGGGGAAACCTGGAAAACTCCCCTCCTCCTCATCCGTATCTTCGAAAACCTCCCTCCAATCCTCCCTCAAACCCGCAGTTCCTTGTGTTCCCCAATAGACGCTTTCTTCTTCTTCTTCCTCCTCGTCAGATGGTAGGAATCCCTCGAACTCCTCTTCATCGTCCATCGTCCCGAACACCTGTTGAAAAAACCTACCCCGGGGTTTGGGTTTGTCAGGGAAGAAATTGTGGAACTCCTCCACTAGGCCCTCGTCAGTGATACAGCTTTCCGGGACCCAAGTATTCTCTGAACTCGGGGCCCCTTCCCACACCACCAGATACTCTAACTGTTCCCCACTCCAGCGAGAATCCAGTATTTCCATCACCTCGTTGCACTGCTCCCTTTCCTCCATTTCGGGTGGTGGGAGTTCCCCCTCCCCACTACGCTGCCTCCTTCCTCCTTCCCTGTAGGGGGACAGCAGTGACCTGTGAAACACCGGATGGATCCTCATGCTCTCCGGCAACCTTAATTTAAATGCTACCGGGTTGACTTGCTGGATTACCTCAAAGGCCCCACCCTCCTGGGCTTGAGCTTCTTGCAGCCTCCTTTCCAAGGCAACCCTTGCGTGGACAACCACACCTTGTCCCCAACCCGGATGACCTCCCCCGGCTGCCGATGCTTGTCGGCCTCCCTCTTGTAGACCTCCTTAGCCCTTTACAAGTTCAACTGAAGCTGCAGGTGGATCGCTGCCATCTCCTCCACAAACTGTTCTGCTGCAGGCACACTCCACGACTCCTCCCCCCTTCCCAGAATGGCCAGGGGGTGACGCCCATGATTGGCAAAGAACAGAGTCATCCCTGTGGATACGTTCTCCGCGTTATTGTAAGCAAACTCTGCCAGGGCTAGTTTGTCTACCCAATCGTTCTGCCTTTGACTGATGTAACACCACAAATACTGTTGCAAAACAGCATTTGCTCTCTCCACTTGCCCATTGGCCTCAGGGTGCCTCGCAGTCGTGAAACTCACCTCCACCTGCAACAAACCCATGAGCTTGCGCCAAAAACGTGAGGTGAATTGAGTCCCCTATCCGAAACCACCCGAGCAGGTACCTCATGGAACCTAAACACATGCTCTACAAACAGCTTGGCGGTTTCTTCCGCCGTCACGGCATGCGAGCAGGCCACAAAATGGCACATTTTGGTTAGGAGATCCGCCACCACCATGATAGTGGTCTTACCCTTAGACTTTGGCAGGTCAGTGATAAAATCCACCGCCACCACCTCCCATGGCTTTCCTGGTGTGGGTAAAGGTTCCAGCAAACCTGCTGGTGCCACCCTCTCCCCTTTGGCCCTCTGGCATGTGTCACACCCTCGCACATATTCTCTTACATCCTCTCTCACTTTGGGCCACCAAAATTCCCGGGTGATCAGTAGCATGGTCTTGTATTGCCCAAAATGCTCTGCCGTGCAGCTGTCGTGGAGTTGTTTGAGAACTCTGGCCCTAAGATTTTCGCCTGGAACATACAAGGCCCCTTGATAGTACAGGAGCCCCCCTTTCACTTCGAAACCACCCTCGGCACCCCCCTTTTCCCTTTTCCCTTAACTTCCCGATCTTTTGCCTCGCAAAGTCATCGTCTCTGAGCAGCTGCATCAGTTCGTCGTCCTTGACCAACGGCCCCCCAACATCCACTGGTTCTCAGGGAACATCAGTCTAGCAACCGGAGGCCCTTCTTCCACCATATACTCCGGTTTCTGTGACAGCGCATCCGCCCTCGCATTCTGCTCTCCTGGCACATATTGGATCTTAAAGTTAAAGTTGGCAAAGGACTCCGCCCATCGTATCTGTCTCAGGCACAACACCCGCGCCGTACGCCAGTACACCAAAATTTGGTGCCTTGCCCCAATCGGGAAATGGCGCCATTGTTTGAACGCAGCCACAATCGCAAGCAATTCCTTGTCGTAGATAGTGTAGTTTTGCTCCGATTTATTCAGTTTCCGTGAAAAAAAGGCACATGGCCGCCACTCCCCCTTTTCATCTGGTTGCAGCAACACCGCCCCTATCGCCCGATCAGAAGCATCCGTCTCAACTCGCAGTGGTTGATAGGGGTTGACGTGGAGCAGTTGCTCCTCTGATGCGAAGACCCTCTTAAGCTTTTCAAACCCCTCTTGTGTCGCCTCCGTCCAATGAAACTTCTTCTTAGCACTAAGACAGTCCGTTATGGGCGCCGTCAGTTTCACGAAGCCCTTGATGAACTCTCCTGTAGAAATTGCTGAAGCCCAGGAAACGCTGAACATCTTTCCTGGTCTTAGGGCTCTCCCATTCCACCACCGCCTTCACCTTCTCCGGATCCATGGCCAAACCCTTGTCCGACAGCCTGTAACCCAGGAACTCGACCTCTTTCGCGTGGAACTGACACTTCTCCAGCTTCACCCACAGCCGATGCTCCTTAAGTTTGCTCAGGACCTGACGTACGTCCTTTACGTGCTGTTTCTCGTTGTCCGAGTACTTTAGCATGTTGTCCAAGAAACAAACGCAGTTCCGGTACAGCAAAGGCCCTAGCACGTGATGCATGAAGGCTTGGAAACAGGGGCTTCTGCACTGTAAACCGAAGGGCATGACGAGATACTCAAACGCTCCCAGCGGGGTGAACATGGTGGTCTTCTACTCATCGCCCTCTCGCACTCTGATGAGGTTGTATGCCCCCTGGAGGTCCAGCTTGGTGAAAATTTTCCCCTTCCGCACCCTGGCCAGAACATCGTTGATCCTCAGCATTGGGAAGGCCACAGGTTCCGTCAGGCTGTTCAAAACGTGAAAATCCATGACCAACCTCCGCTCGTTAGTCGATTTCTTGTCCACAAAGAACACGGGGCTCCCACCTGCCGCCTTGGATTCCCTGATGAATCCCCTTTTAATATTTTTCTCAATAAAGTCCCTCAGGTCCTTGATCTCTCCCTCCGACATGGAGTAGATCTTTCCCACCAGCAGCGTGGCCCCGGGATCAGGTTGATCTGGCAATCATATGGTCGATGTGGCGGCAACATGTCAGCCTCCTTCTTGCTGAACACCTCCTGTAGGTCCCGATAATATGGAGGAATTTCGGCCATCCCTGCTTTGCATGCTGCTGCCATCCTGGCCTCCGTTTGTCGAGGTTGCTCTAGGCCCAGGCAGTTCTCCATGCAGTGGGTCAAACCGAACGTCAGGGACCGTTGATGCCAGGAAACCACTGGATCGTGCAAGGCCAGCCAGCTCATGCCCAGTATGATAGGCGGGCCTGCCAACGTGGCCATGTGAAAGGCGATGACCTCGGAGTGGGTATACACCCGCATCCTCATGGGAGGTGTTTGATGGGTCACTTCACCTCCCAACAGTTCTCTCCCATCAATTGTAGTGACTTGCAGCGGAAAATCCAAAGGCCTCAGGTTCAGTTGGTGCTGCGCTGCAAACTCCTTGCTAAAAAATGACGCCGAAGCTCCGGAATCAACCAAGGCCAACTCCTCCACCGTGTGGCCATTCGGGAGTTCTAGGACCACCTTCAACACTATGCTTGCTTTGGGGTGTCCGAGCCGAGGACTTTCGCTCTTGCTCCCGCCTGGCTGTTGCCCCGGTTCACCACCAGCCAGGCTGCCCCGTTTCCCGAAGTCTGGGGTTCCTCTGCCTCTGCCTGCTGGGTGGCCCCAACCATTCCCTGCCAGTTATGACCCTCCAGACACACTCTGGCAAAGTGTCCCATTTTCTGTCAGAAAAAACATTTCTTGGCCGCTTGCCAGTACTTCTCTTTGCCGCCCGGCCGTTGAGCCTTCAAACTTTCCCGCGCGCGGGCTGAGTCTATTTCCATGGGCTCCGGCTGTTGTTGACCTTCTGAGGCAGCTGCCGGCATTTCAGGAATGTGGTTACCATGGAAACTCCGGCCCTTGCCCTGCTTCCTTTCCCGCAGTCTGGCTTCCTGCCTCAGCCCCACCACAAGAGCAGCTTTCATTAGCTCATACATATCCTTGGGACGGGGGGCCCTAGCAAGCTCATCCTTAACTTCAGCGTTCAGTCCAGCCTTAAACCAAGCTTGCAGAGGCTCTGATTCCAAATCCCATCCCAGTTTGTGAACAAGCATTGCGAATTCTGACCAGTAACTAAGCACCGTAGATTTGCCTTGCTTCAAAGCCAAACGCTCCTCCTGCGTCTTGTCAATATAACTTTGATCTGCGTATATAAAGTCCATAGCTTGCCAAAACTTGGGCAGACTTCGAAGCGCTTCATTATTAGAGGCAATTAACGGTCTCACCCAGCTCTTAGCCTCCCCCGACAGGTGACCAATTATGTGAGCAACCTTCTGAGCATCGTTGGCAAACTGAGATGCTTCAAGCTCCAAAAAATATCTCATCTCAGTCTTAAAATCCAAATAGCCCTCAGGATCGCCGTTAAACTTTTCCACCCACGCAGCTTTGCCCCTCGCCTGTAGCCCACCTGTGGCTCCACTCTGAGCAGCTCTGGCTTCCTCCAGATGCTACTGCAGGTCCAAAGCGCGGGCTTCCAGTCCGGCATTTCGCTTACGCAGTTCGGAAATCTCCTTCTCCATTTTTTGGCTATTTCCTCTTTTCACTAGCTTTCAGCAGTGGAGTCGATTCATGCTGTGAGGATTTTGTGCTGCCAAAGCTAGCTGAGATAACGCTCTAGGCACACAGCCATTTCTGTACTGAAGATTAATTGCCAAAAGTTCAAAGCAGTTACAAGAGTTCAAAAAGCACATCCATCTCTTGCTCAGTCAGATGAATCGACTGGCGATCTTTTTTTACTCCTCCCCCAGCAGGACCATTTCCTCAGTGCACGCCTCCTACTTCCTCTGTTCTGTGAGTGGCTAGTTCCTGGCACTGGTTCCCCCCTCCCTATTTCCTCCTCTGAGTTTGATGAGAAACTGCTGATGAGCGATTTAGGCTCTCTGTAATTGCCTCTCCCCCCCCCCCCCGGCTCTTTGGCCGTTTCCAATTCCCTGACAACCGCTGTTTAACATCTAGGTGAGTTGCAGCTGAATTATTGTGATTTTTTTCTTTTTTAAGAATTGAATTTCACACTTTTAAAAAATACTGCTTAATCTACTGTTCTGTTCTTGGCTTACTCTGGTGCTTTGATATCACACTGCTACATGGTATTATGCTATTGTAAGATCATACATAGTGTGCCTTGCAATATCTCAGCACAGTTGGGTAGTAGAAAATCTTGGTGGAGAACCATAATCCGTTAAATTTATTTGAAGTACTTCCCCCCCCCCCGATCTTTGCAAATGAATTATACATCCTACACACAGTTTTTTTTGTGTGAAACATTAAAGAGGAGAAGTGAACAAAACAGCCTAGATTGAGAATTATCGCGCTGTGGTCTAAACCACAGAGCCTAGGGCTTGCTGATCAGAAGGTAGGTTGGCGGTTCAAATCCCCGCAACGGGGTGGGCTCCTATTGCTTGGTCCCAGCTCCTGCCAACCTAACAGTTTGAAAGCACGCCAAAAGTGCAAGTAGATAAGTAGTTACCAGTCCAGCAAAAAGGTAAACAGTGTTTCCGTGTGCTGCTCTGGTTCGCCAGAAGCAGCTTAGTCATGCAGGCCACATGACCCAGAAGCTGTCTGCAGACAAATGCTGGCTCCCTTGGCCAGTAAAGTGAGATGAGCGCTGCAACCCCAGAGTTGCCCACGACTGGACTTAATGGTCAGGGGTCCCTTTACCTTTATACTGTGTGGAAGATGAGGGATCTTAGTTTATTCATCATTAAAGGTAAAGGTAAAGGTAAAGGACCCCTTACAGTTAAGTCCAGTCGCGGCGCTCATCTCACTTTACAGGCCAAGGGAGCAGGTGTTTGTCCGCAAACAGTTTTTCCGGGTCATGTGGCCAGCATGACTAAGCTGCATCTTGCGAAACCAGAGCAGTGCACGGAAACGCCATTTACCTTCCCGCCAGAGCGGTACCTATTTATCTACTTGCACTCTGATGTGCTTTTGAACTGCTAGGTTGGCAGCAGCTGGGACCGAACAATGGGAGCTTGCTCCGTCATGGGGATTCGAAACACCGACTTTCCGATCAGCAAGCCCAAGGTTCAGTGGTTCAGACGACAGTGCCACCCGCGTCCCTATTCATCATTAGCATGGCTAATAAATCCTTTGGAGTTGAGAGATACAAAGTAGGCAAATCTTTTCCTGGGACATTCAAAAAATATTTTTTTCTTTGACAATGCAGGTTTGCCATATTGGTCAAGATTCGTCTCACTTTAAAGAGGTGGGGGAAAGAGGGTGAAGGAGTGTAATTGGAGGAAAGGGGGAATACAAGGGTCCCCTGATGCCCTGTGCCCAATGGCCACCTGGGGTTGGCCCTGTCCATAATGCCTCTGACCACCTGAGTCCTTGGAAAAGCATTTTTGTCATGTCCTCACATTCAGAGAGTTCTTTGGGGAGCAGCACTGCTTTGGAGTTCATATCTTAGACAGCAAGATCCTTCCATTTCAAACCCTCCTACCTGACTTGCCAAATGCTGCTCTCTACACCAGAAAAATGTATAAAATTAACATTTTATTGTTGGAAACATGCTCTAACTCGAACCTACAGAGACTGCCACAATCATTCATGTTTCTAACATAAGTATCCTGAAGCTCCATCTGGAGCAGGAACCGGCAAGCCATGGAGAAAACTCCATGGACAAAGACAACAGGTATATAAAAGTTATGACGGTGGAAGATGAGCCCCCCCAGGTTGGAAGGCGTCCAACTTGGTACTGAGGAAGAGCGGAGGACAAGTACAAGTAGATTCAGAGCTGATGAAGCGGCTGGGCCAAAGCCGAAAGGTTGCTCAGTTGCGGATATGCCTGGAAGCAAAAGGAAAGTCCAATGCTGTAAAGAAAAATATTGCATAGGAATCTGGAATGTAAGAACCATGAACCTTGGTAAGTTGGATGTGGTCAAAGATGAGATGGCAAGAATAAATATTGACATCCTGGGCATCAGTGAACTAAAATGGACGGGAATGGGCGAATTCAGTTCGGATGACCATCATATCTACTACTGTGGGCAAGAATCCCGTAAAAGAAATGGAGTGGCCTTCATAGTCAACAAAAGAATGGTGAAAGCTGTACTGGGATACAATCTCAAAAATGACAGAATGATCTCAATACGAATCCAAGGCACACCTTTTAACATCACAGTAATCCAAGTTTATGCACCAACCACTGGTGCTGAAGAAACTGAAATTGACCAATTCTATGAAGACTTACATCACCTTCTAGAAATGACACCAAAGAAGGATGTTCCTCTCATTATAGGGGATTGGAATGCTAAAGTAGGGAATAAAGAGATAAAAGGAACAACTGGCAAGTTTGGCCTTGGAGTTCAAAATGAAGCAGGGCAAAGGCTAATAGAGTTCTGCCAAGAGAACAAGCTAGTCATCACAAACACTCTTTTCCAACAACACAAGAGATGACTCTACACGTGGACGTCACCAGATGGGCAGCATCGAAATCAGATTGATTATATTCTCTGCAGCCAAAGATGGAGAAGCTCTATACAGTCAGCAAAAACAAGACCTGGAGCTGACTGTGGCTCAGATCATCTTATAGCAAAATTCAACCTTAAACTGAAGAAAGTAGGAAAAACCACTGGGACAGTAAGATACAATCTAAATCAAATCCCTTATGAATAAACAGTGGAAGTGAGGAACAGGTTTAAGGATTTAGGTTTGGTGGACAGAGTGCTGAAGAACTATGGATGGAGGCTCACAACATTATACAGGAGGCAGCAACGAAAACCATCCCAATGAAAAGGAAATGCAGGAAAGCAAAGTGGCTGTCCAACGAGGCCTTACAAATAGCGGGGGAGAGAAGGCAAGCAAAATGCGAGGGAGATAGTGAAAGATACAGGAAATTGAATGCAGATTTCCAAAAATAGCAAGGAGAGACAAGAAGGCCTTCTTAAACGAGCAATGCAAAGAAATAGAGGAAAACAATAGAATGGTAAAAACCAGAGATCTGTTCAAGGAAATTGGAGATATGAAAGGAACATATAGTATTGCACTTGGGCAAAAAAAATGAGAGGCACAAATACAAGATGGGGAACACCTGGCTTGAGAGCAGTACATGTGAAAAGGATCTAGGAGTCTTGGTTGACCACAAACGTGACATGAGCCAACAGTGTGACGCGGCAGCTAAAAAAGCCAATGCAGACTTCCGGAGGTGGCGCCAGTGTGGTGTAGTGCCAGTGTGGTGTAGTGGTTAAGAGCGGTAGTCTCGTAATCTGGGGAACCGGGTTTGAGTCTCCGCTCCTCCACATGCAGCTGCTGGGTGACCTTGGGCCAGTCACACTTCTTTGAAGTCTCTCAGCCCCACTCACCTCACAGAGTGTTTGTTGTGGGGGAGGAAGGGAAAGGAGAATGTTAGCCGCTTTGAGACTCCTTAAAGGGAGTGAAAGGCGGGATATCAAATCCAAACTCTTCTTCTTCTTCTTCTTCAACGGTAATGGCGGATTCCCTCTGATTCGGAGGGAACCCGCTCCACAGAAATAGGGTCGGATACCGCTTCGGCGCAGCGGGGACCCCTGAAACCACAGGTGGGTGAAGCCTGTGACCCTGGGACTCGGCGGGCACTGTCTGAGCCCCCCCAATCTGCAAAGGAACCCGGCAACGGGCTCCGGAACAGAGCGGGGAAGTGGCGCTGTGCTGTGAGTCGTCTGCTTCTGTGGAGTGAAGCCGCGTAACTGTTGCCGGAGAGCGCTGCCTTTCTTCCTTGACAATTTGGCTTCGAAAATAACGATCCGTGAGTAGGATTACGACGTAATTAAAGGAACTGTACAAAAATTGGAAGTAATCGGCCGAAGCGGAGAGGTATAAAAGGGAAGTCTGCCTCCCGCTCTTGTAGACAGAACAAAGCATTGAACTTGAAAGCGGAAGCCTTAAAAGACGCGTAAAAGGATTACAATCCGATCATCTTACCGGGATTTCCCCCCCCTCAATTTGGGGGAAGAGGGGGGGAAGTTTTGAACGTTATTTCCCCAAGAAGAAGTGAGAAAGAGGAGATAAAAACCACTGCTCAAACCCCCTGGAACGGGTTCCCAGTGACAGTAAAAAGCCTGAGAGAATGTACTGTCTTTGAACGTATTTTGACAACTAGCTCTGCATCTGAAATACAATTTGGATACAATATTGCTGATAGGTATCTCCTGGTCCTAAAGTAACTGCCTAAGATAGATTGTTATCTTTCTGGTGAATTGGGGGACTTAAGGGAGAAGTAAATTACTTTAAGAACTTTATGACTGTTACAGTGTCCCCCTAGTGGAATTTGGAACTAGCTACAACTGCAGCTGGCCTGAGGAAATTTCTCACACTGCTTTCCTGGAACTTTCCATTTCAAAACAACTTTGACTCTGACTGTGTGACTGACCTTGAGTTTTATCTAGAGGGATATGGCAGATGGGAAAGAGAAGTTAGATTTGTTACAAGCAACAAGGTCTGGCAGAGTATACCGCACAGACGGTGGATTGCAAAGGAGAGCTTCGACATCTGGCCCCCCTGGAGTCCCAACAGCAACCTCATCGGCACAACCTAAAACTAAAGGTATGGCAAGTGACGATGCCCTGGCTCAGGCACTGGCTAAAATTAATGAATCTTTGGATAGAATAAGTAAACAAGTAGCAGAGGCATCGGATAAGATTGATCAAAATACGACAAGTATTAACCAAAATACGGCAAGTATCAATAATTTGGGACAGAAAGTAAATACTAATACAGAAACTATTCCGAAATTATTACAGGAATCTGCTTCGACACGTGAGATTGCCGAAGAGGCTAAAGAAATTGCTACAGCTACTGTTGCAGAGGTTCAAGAGAAGATACCACCGCTACATAAACAACTTGAAGACCATAAGTCAATCCTGTCTATGATCGAGTTGAAGGAGAAACAAGTGAACTTAAGGGTCAGAGCTGTACCTGAAGTGGAGAAAGACAACTTAGTTGAATTTCTTACGCAGGAATTCCTAGATTTTGGAATCCAGATTTGGGGAAAGACAGTTTTAAAATAGTGAATGCTTTTAGACTTGGAAAAGGAGGGGGAAAGAAGGTGAGAGATTGTTTGATCACTCTCCGAACAAAAGAAGAGAGAGACAAGATTTTGAGTTTGCATTTCCAGAAGACACTGGAAATACAACAGTCAAAAGTGGAGATATTCAAGGATATTCCGAAACACCTTCTGGATCTCAGGTCTAACTACAAAGACCTGTTGAGAAGTAACGGAATTAACTTTAGGTGGGAATTTCCTCAAGGCCTATCCTTTAGTTACAAAGGAAAGAAGATAAAAATAAGATCGGAAGACGACAAAGACAAATTTTGGAGAGACCACGGAGAAGACCTACAGAAGAAAGTTACAGGAGAGTTAAGAGCAATTGTAAGAGAAACTTTAGACATACCAGGACTATCTCTGGAACTAAAAGACCGCCTGAAAAACGTGATACCACCGATGGAACAGGAACAGGCACTGGGTGCTGTTGGAGGAGAACCAAAATAATTACATCATGGCCCTGCAACTATTAAGCTGGAATTGTAATGGTCTCAATTCCCCTCAGAAAAGGAAATCTGTGTTTCATTTATTAAAAAAGGAACAATTGGACTTGATTTGCCTACAAGAAACACATATAACAAGATTACACAGGAAATTATTGATAAATAAAAGACTTGGTCAGGAGTTTATTTCATCGGACAAAGTTAAAAAAAGAGGGGTTGTGATTTATGCAAAGGACAGATTATCACCGAATTTTTTTTTTAAAGATGACCAAGGAAGATTTGTGGCAATTGAAATTCAAACACAAGGAGAAAAATTTTTGATAGTAGGAATTTACGCACCAAATGAAGGGAAATCTGATTTTTTTAAGAAGTTGCATGAGACTTTGATGGACTATTTGGATTATAACATGATTTTGATGGGAGACATGAATGGAGTGGTATCTACACATATGGACAAGGCACAAAGACAGGTAGTCACTAAGGATGGTAGACTACCGAAAACCTTTTTTGAGATGACAGACAACTTGGACTTAGTTGATATCTGGAGAACAAGAAACCCCATGGCTAAAGAGGGAACCTTCTTTTCTGAAGCCAAAATGACATGGACAAGAATTGACCAAATATGGGTAACTAGAGGAATGGCACCAAAGACAAGAAAGGTGGAAATCTGCCCGAAAACTTGCTCCGATCATAATGCTGTCAATGCTGGAAATGAAACTAACACCAACTGGCTCCTTCAGATGGAGGATGAATGACACCTTATTTAGAGATGAAGAAGTGTTAAAGAAGGCCCAAAAAACCTTGAGAGATTATTTTGAGATAAATATGAATAACAACGTGGAAAAAAGAGTAATCTGGGACGCAAGTAAAGCGGTTATGAGAGGGTTTCTGATACAACAGAATGCAGTAAAGAAGAGAATTCAAAATGAGAAGAAGGATAAGATATTGGAGAAAATAAAGGAAAGTGAAAAAGATTGAGAACAAATCCAAAATCTCAAGAGATTCTGAGAGAATTAAAGCTACACCAAGTACAATACATGAAAATGATGAATCAGGAAATAGAATGGAAAATTAAACAAATGAGACAAAAGACATTTGAGTCGGCTAACAAATGTGGGAAACTGTTGGCTTGGCAAATGAAAAAAGACAAAAATTAAATACAGTTACGAATTTAGAAGTGGAAGGAAGGAATATACAGAACCCAGCTGAGATTAGAAATTGTTTCCAGAGGTACTTTAAACAACTATATACACAAGGGCCACTGAAAGAAACTGATCTAGATCAATTTTTGAAAACAAATGGATTACAAAAAATCTCTCCAGAAAATAAATTAATGTTGAACTATAAAATAACTGAACAGGAGATAGAAGGTGCCATTCAAAACATGCAATTGGGTAAGTCTCCAGGACCGGATGGATTGACTTCTAGATATTACAGATCCTTGAAAGAATGGCTAATACAACCTTTGAAAGAGGTCTGTAATGAAATAATGGAGGGGGAAAGAGCACCAGAGTCGTGGAAAGAAGCTTATATTACACTTGTACCGAAAACAGAGACTGAAAAGACACAGCTTAAGAACTACCGCCCCATATCATTACTCAATGTGGATTACAAAATTTTTGCAGACATTTTGGCTAAGAGATTTAAAAAGTGTTGATGGAAGAGATTCATAAAGATCAAGCGGGCTTTCTCCCAGGAAGACACTTGTCTGACAATTTGAGGAATATAATTGATATTTTGGAAAAACTAGAAGTGAATATAAATACTAAAGCAGTTTTGATATTTGTGGACGCGGAGAAAGCCTTTGACAACATTTCTTGGAGCTTTATGAAGAAGAACCTACAGGGTATGGGGGTAGGCCAAGGCTTTGAAAATGGTATAAGTGCAATTTACTCAGAACAAAAGGCTAAATTAATTGTAAATAATGTGGTGACGGAAGAACTTAAAATAGAAAAAGGGACACGACAAGGTTGCCCAATTTCCCCACTACTTTTTATTTCGGTCCTGGAGGATTTGCTGAACATGATTAGAAGGGACCAGCTGGTTAAAGGTATACAGGTCGGAGCTAAACAGTACAAATTGAGAGCATTTGCAGATGATTTAGTACTGACGTTACAGGAGCCAGAATCTAGTACCAAAAGGGTTTTAGAACTGATTCAAGAATTTGGTCAGGTTGCAGGATTTAAATTGAACAAGTTAAAAACTAAGGTTTTAGAGAAAAATCTAACACCAATGGAGAGAGAGAGGTTTCAGAATGAGACAGGTTTAACAGTGGTTAAGAAAGTTAAATACCTGGGGATTAACATGACAGCAAAAATGGGAATTTATTTAAAGATAACTATGAAAAATGTTGGGCTGAAGTGAAAAGAGATTTAGAAATTTGGTCAAATTTGAAGCTTTCACTGCTGGGCCGTATTGCTGCGGTAAAAATGAATGTATTGCCTAGAATGTTGTTTTTGTTTCAAACACTGCAAGTTGTGGACAAAATGGACTGTTTCAAGAGGTGGCAGAGAGATATTTCCAGATTTGTCTGGCAGGGCAAGAAGCCCAGAATAAAATTTAAAATACTAACAGATGCAAAGGAAAGAGGTGGATTTGCCCTGCCAAACCTTAAACTTTATTATGAATCATCAGCCTTTTGCTGGTTGAAAGAATGGCTGCTTCTTGAAAACACTGACATTTTGGATCTAGAAGGTTTTAACAATGTATTTGGATGGCATGCATATCTGTGGTATGATAAGGTCAAAGCACATAAAGCATTTAAAAATCACATTGTCAGGAAAGCACTGTTTAATGTTTGGATAAGATACAAGGATTTATTGGAAAACAAAACTCCAAGGTGGCTGTCACCAATGGAAGCGAAAGCCTTGAAAAAGCTCAATATGGAGGTCAAATGGCCGAAATATTGGGAAATTTTGGAACAAGATGGAGATAGACTGAAATTGCAGAGTTTTGAAAAATTAAAAAACAAAGTGCGAGACTGGCTTCATTATTATCAGATAATGGAGGCATACAATTTGGACAAGAAAATTGGCTTCCAGGTGGAAAAATCAAAATTAGAAACAGAACTATTAGAACCCAAAACTAAGAATTTGGCAAGAATGTATAACTTGCTGCTGAAATGGAACACTCAGGATGAAACGGTGAAATCTGCTATGATTAAATGGGCACAAGACGTTGGACACAACATTATGTTCGCTGACTGGGAACAGTTATGGACCACAGGTATGAAGTTTACGGCATGTAATGCCCTAAGAGAGAATATTATGAAAATGATATACAGGTGGTACATAACCCCAGTTAAGCTTGCAAAAATCTACCATTTGCCTGATAATAAATGTTGGAAATGTAAAGAAACTGAAGGTACATTTTTTCACCTTTGGTGGACGTGCCCAAAGATTAAGGCTTTCTGGGAGATGATATATAATGAATTAAAAAGGTATTTAAATATACCTTCTTGAAGAAACCAGAGGCCTTTCTCCTGGGCATAGTCGGCCAATCGGTGTTAAAAAAAAGGATAGAACTTTCTTTATATATGCCACAACAGCAGCAAGAATACTCATCGCAAAGTATTGGAAGACACAAGAGCTACCCACACTGGAGGAATGGCAGATGAAATTGATGGACTATATGGAATTGGCGGAAATGACTGGCAGAATCCGTGACCAGGGAGAAGAGTCGGTGGAAGAAGATTGGAAGAAATTCAAAGATTACTTACAGAAATACTGCAAAATTAAAGAATGTTAGAGTGATGTTGGATTGAAATTAAGTGGCTTCTAGCTGTACAGGCTTTAAAGTTATATATAGATCAAGATTAAGGATTAGGATTAAAAAGGTTAAAAGAATGGAAAATTGGTTTTTAATAGGTAAAAATTTAATGATATATTATATTAAGATTAAGGATTGGGATTAAAAAGGAGGGAAATGAATTGCTGGACAAACAAACAGAATTGGAATACAAAAGAGGGAGGTATGAGGAGGTCCGGGAAATAAGTAAATGTAAAAGTAGTGATGAAAAGATGGAATTGTTTTTAACTGTTTTTTCTTTTTTCTTTTTGTATTCTGTATTGTGTATTTTTCTTTTTATTTTTAAATTCTTTTTTTTTTTATTAATGTGTTTCTTTTCATGTGAAACTTTAATAAATATCATTAAAAAAAAAAAGCCAATGCAATTCTGGGCTGCATCAATAGGAGTATAGCATCTAGATCAAGGGAAGTAATAGTGCCACTGTATTCTGCTCTGGTCAGACCTCACCTGGAGTACTGTGTCCAGTTCTGGGCACCACAGTTCAAGAAGGACACTGACAAACTGGAACGTGTCCAGAGGAGGGCAACCTAAATGGTCAAAGGCCTGGAAACGATGCCTTATGAGGAATGGCTAAGGGAGCTGGGCATGTTTAGCCTGGAGAAGAGGAGGTTAAGGGGTGCTATGATAGCCATGTTCAAATATATAAAAGGATGTCACATGGAGGAGGGAGAAAGGTTGTTTTCTGCTGCTCCAGAGAAGCGGACACGGAGCAATGGATCCAAACTACAAGAAAGAAGATTCCACCTAAACATTAGGAAGAACTTCCTGACAGTAAGAGCTGTTCGACAGTGGAATTTGCTGCCAAGGAGTGTGGTGGAGTCTCCTTCTTTGGAGGTCTTTAAGCAGAGGCTTGACAACCATATGTCAGGAGTGCTCTGATGGTGTTTCCTGCTTGGCAGGGGGTTGGACTCGATGGCCCTTGTGGTCTCTTCCAACTCTATGATTCTATGATTCTATTCTATGATTCATTTCATACAAAGATTACCATAATAAAGGACAAAAGTAATAAAGGACAGAAGACATCAAGAAGAGGTGGCAAGAATACACAGAGGAATTATACCAGAAAGATATGGATGTCTCGTACACCCCAGGTAGTGTGGTTGCTGACCTTGAGCCAGACATCCTGGAGAGTGAAGTCAAATAGGGCTTAGAAAGCACTGCTAATAACAAGGCCAGTGGAAGTGATGATATTCCAGCTGAACTATTTAAAATTTTAAAAGATTATGCTGTTAAGGTGCTACATTCAATATCCCAGCAAATTTGGAAAACTCAGCAGTGGCGAGAGGATTGGAGAAGATCAGTCTACATCCCAATCCCAAAGAAGGGCAGTGCCAAAGAATGCTCCAACTACCGCACAATTGCACTCATTTCACATGCTGGCAAGGTTATGCTTAAAATTCTACAAGGCAGGCTTAAGCAGCATGTGGACCGAGAACTCCCAGAAGTGCAAGCTGGATTTCGAAGGGGCAGAGGAACCAGAGTCCAAATTGCAAACACGCGCCGGATTATGGGGAAAGCTAGAGAGTTCCAGGAAAACATCTACTTCTGCTTCATTGACTACGCAAAAGCCTTTGACCGTGTTGACCACAGCAAACTATGGCAAGTTCTTAAAGAAATGGGAGTGCCTGATTACCTCATCTGTCTCCTGAGAAATCTCTATGTGGGTCAAGAAGTTACAGTTAGAACTGGATATGGAACAACTGATTGGTTCAAAACTGGGAAAGGAGTACAGTGGTGCCTCGCAAGACGAAATTAATTCGTTCCGCGAGTTTTTTCGTCTAGCGAATTTTTCGTCTTGCGAAGCACGGTTTCCCATAGGAATGCATTGAAATTCAATTAATGCGTTCCTATGGTCAAAAAAAGTCCAAACAAAGCCAAATTTGGTACAACAAGAGTTTATTAACTGCTCTTTAAAGTCACACATACTTTAAAGAGCATATCAAAATTGAAGGAACAATAAATTAAGTTTCTAAACATGACAGGAAAAACATTTAAAAATCAAAAAAGGGTACATTACATTTTCTAAGACTCTGGGGGACCACTCGAAGAAGGTTCCTCTTCCACTCTTTGCTTCTTGCTGAGGAACCTGTCCATGGTCTGCTGCTTCATCCGCCTTTTCAGCAGCTCCCTGAGAGGCAACATGACCGTTGTATCAAAAGTGTTCGCTTGGTCATGTGCCACGTGCTTGATAGGGTGGTGCCGCTCTGCAAAAGCCTGCACCTCCTTCCACTTCTGGCAAATGTCCCTCAGTTCTTTGGAGGACGGCCGTTCCTCAGTTGCTTCCTCCTCTTCCAGCGAGGCCTGCTCCTGCGCAACCTCTGACTGCAGTTCAACCAGCTCCTGGGTGGTCAGCTCGTGGTCGTGCTCCTCCACCAGCTCGCAGACGTCCTCCTCTGTGACCTCCAGGCCCATGGTCCTCCCCAAGGCAACAATGTCCTGCACCACTGTTGACTCTGGTGCATCAGAGTCACTTGGTGCCACACAGTCCGGCCACAGGCTGCGCCAAGCGCAATTCAAATTTCTCTGGCTGATCCCGTTCCAGGCCGTGGTGATCATCTTCAAGCAGGTGACGATGTCGAAGTGGTCCTTCCAGAATTCCCGCAGGGTGATGGTGGTGCAATCAGTCACCTCGAAGCATCGCCTGAAAAGCTCCTTGGTGTAGAGTTTCTTGAAATTGGCGATGACCTGCTAATCCATCGGCTGGAGCAATGGCGTGGTGTTAGGCGGCAGGAACATGATGTTGATGAAGCTGAACTCCTCCAACAAGTCCACCTCAAGGCCTTTAGGATGAGCAGGAGCATTGTCCATCAGAAGCAAAGCCTTCAGCGGCAGGTCGTTGTCCAGCAGGTACTGTTTGACAGCAGGGCCAAAAGCAAGATTGACCCAGTCCACAAACAGCACACGTGTGACCCAAGCCTTGCTGTTGGATCGCCACATGACACTCAGCTGCCCCTTGTCGACCTTGTGTTTCTTGAAGGCCCGTGGGTTCTCCGAGTGGTACACCAGCAGGGGCTTGATCTTCAGGTCGCCGCTTGCGTTGGCACAGAAGAGCAGGGTCAGACGGTCCTTCATGGGCTTGTGGCCAGGCAACTTGGCCTCCTCCTGTGTGAGGAAAGTCCTTTTGGGCATCCTCTTCCAAAACAGCCCGGTCTCGTCGCAGTTGAAGACCTGCTGTGGAACGTAGCCCTCCGTCTTCACAACCTCCAGGAACTCCAAGGCAAAGTCTTCAGCCGCAGGAACATCAGAACTGGCAGCCTCCCCATGCCTGACCACGCTGTGGATTCCAGATCTTGCCTTGAACCGGTCAAACCAGCCTCTGCTTGCCTTGAAGACTTCTGGCTCGGCCGAGGTTCCTGGCTGTTCCCGGATGAGGTCTGCGTGCAAGGCCTTGGCCTTCTCACAAATGACGGCCTCAGTCACTGTGTCCCCTGCACGCTGCTTCTCTTCTAACCAGATGAGCAGCAACTTCTCGACCTCCTCCAGAACAGCTGGGCGGTTCTTCACGATCCTGGTGACTCCCTTGGCTGCATCAGTCGCAAGGATCTTCTCCCTCATCTTCAGGATGGTCCCGATGGTCGATGGGTTCCTGCCGTACTCCCTGGCGAGGTCCGTCACACGCATTCCACCGTCGTGCTTCCGGATGATCTCCTTCTTCATCTCCAGCGTCACCTTCTCCTTCTTCCTCTCGCCGGCCTCCGCAGCAGCAGCAGTCTTCTTGGGTCCCATGGCAGCACAGCTCTTACCTTCGTAAACTCAGAAAAAGAAAAAAAAAAATCAGCAATTCAAACCCAGAACCAAGTCCTTGAATTCCAAACACCCAACCCAAAATCCAAAAACCCCCAAAAAAGTTTTAAAAATTTAACTTACGAAATGGCTGCAAATCACCAAAGTCTTCAAAATCCTCAAATGGCTGCAAAAGAAGTTTTGGGAAAGCTTTAAAAATCACTAAAGTCTTCAAAAACCTCAACTGTTCCCCCAGCCCCTCCCCAACTGTTGCAAACCCCTCCCCAACTGTTGCAAACCCCTTCTCAACCCCAGCCACCCAGCACACAGAAATTCAAAACCCAGAAAATTTTTCAAAAAAAAACAACATGGCCCAATGGTCACAGAAAATCATAAAAATGCAGAAAAAAACCACACAAGCTCCCAGATTCCTGCAAACCCCTCCCCAGCTGTTCCCCCATCCACCCAGCACACAGAAATTCAAAACCCAGAATTTTTTTTCAAAAAACAACAACATGGCCCAATGGTCACAGAAAATCATAAAAATTCAAAAAAAAAACAAACCACACAAGCTCCCAGATTCCTGCAAACCCCTCCTCAGCTGTTCCCCCAGCCACCCAGCACACAGAAATTCAAAACCCAGAAATTTTTTTCAAAAAAAACAACATGGCCCAATGGTCACAGAAAACCATAAAAATGCAGAAAAAACCACACAAGCTCCCAGATTCCTGCAAACCCCTCCCCAGCTGTTCCCCCAGCCACCCAGCACACAGAAATTCAAAACCCAGAAATTTTTTTCAAAAAAACAACAACATGGCCCAATGGTCACAGAAAACCATAAAAATGCAGAAAAAACCACACAAGCTCCCAGATTCCTGCAAACCCCTCCCCAGCTGTTCCCCCAGCCACCCAGCACACAGAAATTCAAAACCCAGAATTTTTTTTCAAAAAACAACAACATGGCCCAATGGTCACAGAAAATCATAAAAATTCAAAAAAAAAAACCCCACACAAGCTCCCAGATTCTTGCAAACCCCTCCCCAGCTGTTCCCCCATCCACCCAGCACACAGAAATTCAAAAATTCAAACCCAGATATTTTTTTTTAAAAAATAAACATGGCCCAATGGTCACAGAAAATCATAAAAATGCAGAAAAAAACACACAAGCTCCCAGATTCTTGCAAACCCCTCCCCAGCTGTTCCCCCATCCACCCAGCACACAGAAATTCAGAAATTCAAAACCCAGATATTTTTTTTTAAAAAAATAAACATGGCCCAATGGTCACAGAAAATCATAAAAATGCAGAAAAAAACACACAAGCTCCCAGATTCTTGCAAACCCCTCCCCAGCTGTTCCCCCATCCACCCAGCACACAGAAATTCAAAAATTCAAACCCAGATTTTTTTTAAAAAAATAAACATGGCCCAATGGTCACAGAAAATCATAAAAATGCAGAAAAAAACCACACAAGCTCCCAGATTCTTGCAAACCCCTCCCCAACACCAAGTCCTTGAATTCTAAACACCCCAACCCAAAATCCAAAAACCCCAAAAAAAGTTTTAAAAGTTTAACTTACCAAACAGCTGCAAAAGAAGTTTTGGAAAAGCTTCAAAAATCCAGCAAACTCTTTAAAAAGCTCAGAAAGGCCACAGCACCGCGTGCAATGTGTTGCTCCTTGAGGTCAAGTCGCAACTGCACCTCTTCCAGCAATGCACCCTGGGTTCTAACGGTTTTACGAAAAAGGAAACAAACTTGCAAGACGTTTTCGTCTTGCGAAGCAAGCCCATAGGGAAATTCGTCTTGCGAAGCAGCTCGAAAACGAAAAAACCTTTCGTCTTGCGAGTTTTTCGTCTTGCGAGGCGTTCGTCTTGCGGGGCACCACTGTATGACAAGACTGTATATTGTCTCCCTTCTTATTTAACTTAGATGCAGAATTCATCATGCGAAAGGCTGGACTGGATGAATCCCAACAACCTCAGATATGCAGATGACACAACTTTGATGGCATAAAGTGAGGAGGAGTTAAAGAACCTCTTAATGAGGGTGAAAGAGGAGAGCGCAAAATATGGTCTGAAGCTCAACATCAAAAAAAAACAAAGATCATAGCCACTGCGCCCATCACCTTCTGGCAAATAGAAGGGGAAGAAAAGGAGGCAGTGAGAGATTTTACTTTCTTGGGCCCCATGATCACTGCAGATGGTGACAGCAGTCACGAAATTAAAAGACGCCTGCTTCTTGGGAGAAAAGCAATGACAAACCTAGACAGCATCTTAAAAAGCAGAGACATCACCTTGCCAACAAATGTCCGTATAGTTAAAGCTATGGTTTTCCCAGTAGTGATGTATGGAAGTGAGAGCTGGACCATAAAGAAGGCTGATCGCTGAAGAATTGATGCTTTTGAATTATGGTGTTGGAGGAGACTCTTGAGAGTCCCATGGACTGCAAGAAGATCAAACCTCTCCATTCTTAAGGAAATCAGCCCTGAGTACTCACTGGAAGGACAGATCGTGAAGCTGAGATTCCAATACTTTGGCCACCTCATGAGAAGAGAAGACTCCCTGGAAAAGACCCTGATGTTGGGAAAGATGGAGGACACAAGGAGAAGGGGACGACAGAGGATGAGATGGTTGGACAGTGTTCTCGAAGCTACCAGCATGAGTTTGACCAAACTGCGGGAGGCAGTGGAAGACAGGAGTGCCTGGCGTGCTCTGGTCCATGGGGTCATGAAGAGTCAGACACGACTAAACGACTAAACAACAACAATCCTGAAGTCCATTTCTGCACTCTTTCTGAGAGTTTTATTTGGTTTCCCTTAAATGAGCAATATAAAAAGGGTATTCAGCAAAGGTGAATCTTAAGGCAGACTATAACACATAAACTCCAACAGGTACATTTCTCTGAGAAGAGAGATTCAAACAGTTCCCACAGTTACAGAACTTACTATTTCCCAACATGTCACATAGCTTGCATGATTGTTCTTTACTTTATACAGGCTGTTTACTTTCTTCCTTTGTACTTCAGTATGTACGCAATCAACTGACATATTTTGAAATATGTGCTATGGTGCCATTCACTAAGACATCTGGTGGGAGATCAGCAGGAAGTTACAGAATATTCACTGGCTGGAAATGATGCCATGTAACCAACCCAAATCTTTACAGGTGCAAACAGTATTGAAAGTGGAATCACATAGGACTGCCACAACAGTATCACGAGTACAAATCATTGTGGATGTTGAATAAAAAGGATGTTTGGAGGGACCCAAATGTTCTGATTTATTTTTAACCCACTTTCATTGTGCTGTGGCCTCTCTAGACAGCAATAATGCACATTATCTACCTGGCCTGGGCCTCTGCCTGGCTCTGCAAGGCCCTGGGAACAACCCAAAGCAATGGTCAAGGACCCAGGACCCTCGGGCAGGTCCATGCAAAGGATAGGGAGCTGGGTACACTTGCCCCAGACCTTGGAGGACTAAGCTGGCCATGGGGCTCACCCAGGGACCAGCTGCTTTTGTGTTTGAGTTTATAACTTTATTTTAACAAGACTCCTGTCCTGGGCCTCAGACAAGTTCTACATGGGCCTGCCCTTGGGGGAGATGGCTGGGGTCCTACCATCCAGAAAGAAAGCTCAGCCTCTGTTTCTCTCTGCCACCACCAATTAGAAAGTAGACAAAAACTGCACACAGTTTTTAATTCAAAAACTGACTGATGGAAAGAATAAAGAGGGTTTTGGTTTGGTTTGGTTTGGTTTGGTTTGGTTTGGTTTTGTGCAAAGTTCTTAAGTGGCTAAAATTCCCCTTGGCCTCAATCTTCGCTGTGCCACCCCGGGCTGCTACTTATTATTGACCCACACTTGCCATGTGGGAAGCTAGATAGTGTCATGGGCAATCCTTAAAGAAAGGGTTCAAGCAAAGCATTTACTTGGCAGCCCAGTTCTCCAGATAAGAATAATTTTCTTTCGCCGGATGTTAGGTTTTACTGGGACTTCAATGAGTGATCAAAGTCTCTAATAAAATAATTAACTGTTCATAGGAAATTGAATAAAGCTTGGTTTCTTTTCAATCAGTAAGTCAATTGAACATATGGAATGCTTTCATACATTATTTTCTTATTTTAGCAGATTTATACCCACCTTTCTATGCAAAAGTGTCAGAGATAACAAATTCCTAACAATAAATAATAAACAACAATATCTATCTATCTATATCTATCATCTATCATCATCTATCTATATCTATCTATCTATCATCATCATCTATCTATCATCATCTATGATCTATCTATCTATATCTATCTATCTATCTATCTATCTATCTATCATCATCATCATCATCATCTACCTATCTATCATCTATCTAATCATCTATGTACACACACACACACACACTTTAGAAGTCCTTTAAAATAACACAGAATTCCAGAACAACCCCAATAAATCAGCCCAATAAAAATACCAATGCCTTCTGGAAAATAGATGTGTCTTTAAAAACCCAAATAAAAGTAATTAGAGAGAGTGTCAAACAGATATACCCAAGGAATGGCATTCCATATAATTAGTAATAGTAATAGTAATTTATTATTTGTACCCCACCCATCTGGCTGGGTTTCCCCAGCCACGCTGGGTGGCTTCCAACAAAGATTAAAAATACATTCAATATAACTGCCACCACCGAGAAGGCTCTCTCATGTTCCTGCCATAAGGTCCTCTGATATTGGTGGGATAGACACAAGGTCTTTCTCCACTGATCTTATAGGATGTGCACAGCCTTAAAAGTATCCAGGCCATAAAGTGTAGTAGCAAGGCATGTCAAGCAGTGAGTTCACATGGTGAAGTTGGCATATGCTGTTGTGAGTGTAGTTGCAGTTAATTTGGGCAGAATTCAAAACATGCTGAAACCAACAAGTGATTGTTTTGGTACACATGCCGAAAGTTTTATGTGGGTAAAGGGGGTGGCCTAAGTGGCTTTTAAAGTCAAAGAAAAGCACTAATTGCAATACCTAAGTTAAAGTCAAAGAAAAGCACTAAATGCAATACCTAATTTGGGCTGCAATACCAGCCGAAATTAAGTTATTTGATTATCTACCCCTTCGCATGAGTTAATCAGATCCTCCTGTCCATCCCAACCCCAAATACATCCAGTTTTGCAAGCTTGGAACCATTTTTTTACCAGTTTACATTCTCATTCTCATGTCAACAAATGAAACAGTGATAGAAAAGCACAGCTGTATTATGCCATTAATTCCATATTGTTTCGCCTGTCATCTAACTTCAGAGAGAAATCTAATCCTTAATGTTTCCATATTTATAGATTAGAGACAGTGGCTGTTTCAAATCATTGTTTTATATTCATCTCTACTTCTTCTTCTGGGGAAGCCCAGCCAGATGGGCGGGGTATAAATAATAAATTATTATTATTATATTCTTTCCTTTTCATCAATTTGAAAACAAAATTAAAATTCATGACAATAACGTGTGATTTTGCTGGTGAGCAAGAAGCTTGAAAAGAAAGAGGTCTTTATATTCTGAATTCAAATTGCCCTTGCATACTTCAATATGTAACTTGACCTGCAAGTTGCAAGAGTGGCTGAGGAAACCCAGTCAGATGGGTGGGGTATAAATAATCAATAAATTACTACTACTACTACTACTACTACTTCCAATAAGAAAAGACTTAATCATTTGAGCTAACTCAATTAAAGGCTTGATCCAGCCCAAATTAAGCACCTTTTAAGCACCCTTTCTTCTAATGGATAATAAGCACATCCTTTATTCCGTGTCATTAAAATAAATAAAATTAAAATTCCTTACATTTGGCTGCATCATACCCTAAATTGCAAGAAGAGCACTCAGGCACACAAGCTGGGCAAGCAGGTTATAGACATTTCTGTTAATTACAAGGAAACACATCTTTTCAAGTCTTGAGGTAATACTGGGCAATTTTGAATGTTGTCATCTAGTGAACAACATATGCAGACCTGAAAGTAAAGTCACCCAATCAGGTTGGGCATATTTGCATATGATTCAGGAAGCTGAAGGAAAACGGCGATTTGCGAAGGCCTGGCTGGTGCAGTCGTCATCACATTGTTTTATCTGCCCAAGAAAGAGAGGGATATGTTCCTCAACTAATCCAAATGCTGAATCTGCTCTGTCACACAGAGGTAATTTTGTTATATGGGGAGGATATGCATTTGCTTTTAAAAGAGGGAAATGTATCAGGAATAGCAACCTAGTTTGCCACTATTGAGACAGTTGTATTTCCAGTGTTGTAGCAATTCATTGGTGCCAAAATGTGGAGATTATGCTTGAGATGCATACATGGTGTCTTTCTCTGCCCCCCCCCCGAAAAAGAGGTGCTGGAACTGTCCACAAACACCTCCCTTGTTCTCTTATAATGCTAATGGTGTCCACCTGAGAGGTACCAGAACTGAGTTCCAGCTGAAAAAAGCCCTGTCTGGAACTTAGTTCCTGCACCTTTCAGATGGTCGCCAATACCATTATAAGAGAACAAGGGAGGTGTTCATGGACAGTTCCGGCACCTCTTTTTCTGGGAAAATAGCACTGCTTATACAGCTCTACTTACCTCAGTGATAGCCCTCACATCCCTTCTACTAAAATAAAATACTGCTGTGCTTACAGGCCTTCCCTATCTTGAAGTACTTTCTCTCTTCTCTCTTCTTCTTTTTCAATGTGGCCTGGACAATATAAGAAGCACCAAGTGGAACATATTGACACTTAACAATATACTGTTAAATCATGTAGTCATTGTAGTGCCTGTTTTTAATATGATAGTTAAGCACCAGATACCAGCTTGCTCAGGGTCTTAGTGAGGGCAGCTGGCCAGGCAGTGACAGCATTATACCTTCTGAGTCATTCTTACTATAGCCTAACACACAAAAACACATTCAGCTGCTGGATTCATGGTAAGAAAGGAGACAAATGAAGAGATGTGACAGAAACAATGGGCACATTTTTGCAGAATTTTGGAGTAGAGCCAGGCTACCTGAGAAATGCCATTGTTGAATTCCAGCAACAATATCCTTAAATATCCATAGGCATTCCCACTTGCCCCAGTGCCATTTCAAAGGGTGGGCACATGCGTTTTCCAGCCTGCTTTGCACCCGTTCCTCTCCTGGTATCACAATGGATTTCCATATAGCAGAAGCTGCCCAGGCACTCACCCATCCTCTTGTGAGCACTTCATGTGCCATTGAAAGATGCCTGCAGTTCCCCTTCAATAAAAGAGAAATGATCACAATCTACAATTCTTATAGCAGTTTAGCCTGGGGTCAATTGAACACATTCTATCTCTCTCTGCTGAAGAAGGGTTCTTCCTTTTTATCTGTGCTGCCATCTAAGTGCATTGCCTGTGTTGTCTGCCTGTCTTCTTTTTCCATTTTCCCCTTCATCCCTTGGGAAGATGCTGCAGAATTTAATAGAAGTGGGGGAAAGAGGCTTAAAATTACTTCAAAGGGGTATTAGTAGCACTAGTAGCTTTTGTAACATTCTGTTTGCCTTGAGCAACCATTGCTCAAGCTGATGCCATCATGTGCTTGCCGAAGTCATCACAAAGCAGCTGAACATCCTCCCCCAATAATCCATCACTCCCTTTCCCAGAAACTCTGCACTTATTTGCCTTGAGGTTTAAGCAGCTGCTGCAAAGGAGAAATGCTTAAGACCTGTTCTAAGGCCTAGCCAGGTGGAAGTTCACGAAGTAAGAAAAACTGGTTTTGGACTATACCACTTCAGACTGCAGAAGGGGGACAGCCAGTTGGATGGGACTTTGTCTCACGACTTTCACCCTATATATGAACGAGTGCCTTGACATCCAGGAGGAAGTGCAAACATTGCATTTGGGATACTGCTGCACTGAAAGCATCGAGGAACCTTTTGTCTCTCAATGCAGGTCAGAACCACAGGACTCCCTGCAAGCCGCCTCTCTGCCACAGCCAGCTCCCCCGGTCATTCTGGGCATTTTGCTCGCAAGTCAATGGAGCCTGTTTCTGCCGTCGTACAGCAGGGGATGCTGTCGCTTTTAAAGATCTCTGAACTTTTTACTGTGCTTTGTTTTTCCGATCCATTCATTGTGCATTTCTACTTGGTATGCAGCAGAAATACTCCAAAGCAAAAACCTGTCGGGCAAGCCATTCCTTATTACTTGGAAATTAGCAATCTCTGAACTGTTTCTAAAACAAATTGTCTCCATTAGCTCAGCTTTCTTCAGTGTGTTTCACAATTAATGGCTGTCCAGATATATTTTTAGCTTCAAAAGGGGGGGACTGGAATAGTTGGGGGGGGGTCGGGTCACAATATTACTCACTTGCAGAAACGTCAGCCTCCAAGAGCCAGATGCAAATTACTTGCCATCATTTCCACAAACCCTGGAGAACATATTGAGTGTTCTGTACCTTCTAATTTTAAAGAGGGCAAATGATAAATTAAATAAATAAGAAAATAGAACATAAATATATTAGCAACATCTTGGGGAAATTTGTAGATGGAAATATTAACCTTCTTTAAGGTTCTGCAAAAAGCACTGTTTGCCTCCATTTCACTGATATTATACCAACAGGAAAACAAACAGGCAGGACTAAAGAAATGGAGGCAATTCCATTTGGAAGGAAATTTATGTATCCCATACTGCGATTCACGAGCACTCAGCCACACAAAATAACAATAATGCCTCTTGGCCTTTATACAGCTCTGTAGAGCACTCAAACCACTTTGCATGCATTGTCTCTCATATATGGTCTACACATGAAACAGAACGTAGTGCTCTGAGTTCTAAGATGGTCGACCAAGTGGGGGAATCAAGTTTTTTAAATGCTCCCACAGGGCGTGGAGGGAGCATGGGGAAAGCTAGCACACAAGAAATTGAGAAATGATGCAAGGGATTGTTAAGTGTTTCTTCATCTGCAGCTGGAAGGGTTTTTAATGCTGCATGTGTAAATCAGACCTCCGTGACCATTACAGGCAGCCCAATATCACAAGGGGGTTAGCATTGCTCTAGCAGTGGAATTGCCCCAAGCCACTTGATGAGTCAGGGCTGAAGCAAAAATACAACCAGTTATTTTCAGGCATTATGCTAACTATGTCATCTCCTAGAGATGGGTTACTATCATTGCCTTTTGACATATGGGGAAAGGAGACAGAGAGAGAAGTATTTGCCCAAGACCTCCCTGTGAGTTCATTCAGCTGGCACGTAGATGTGTCAGTCTGCATTCTACCCATGGCCCCACATCTCCTGAAATCTCCTGCCTTTTATCCGGGTCTTAGAATTATAGAATCATAGAACTGTAAAGTTGGAAGGGACCCTGAGGATCATCTAGTCCAGGGCTTCTTTTAAAGCCATAACTCAGTTCCAGCACCTCTCAGGTGGGCACCATTGCCATTATAGGAGAACAAGGGAGTTCATGGTGGGTTCCAGCACCTATTTTTCTAGAAAAATAGCACTGATCTAGTCCAACGCCCTGCACTGCAGGAATCTTTTACCCAACGTGGGGCAAGCCATGGGGATTCTGAGTCTGGGGGAGGAGACAAAGCAAGTCCCCTGGCTGCCAGTGACACCTGCTTCTTGGTGAATCTGTCCACCCTTTTGCCCCTAGTTATACCCTTGCACATGGAAGAATGGAGAGTCACAACCAAGGAGCCCCTGAATTGACCAGACACAATCAACAAAGCCCAGTGGTAAAATCTAAGTAACATAGTCGAAGTTATCTTCTTGTAACTGAGGCAACTGGGCTATGCACGAAATTAAGAACTGCCACATGCAGAGGGAATGGAGAATATTGGGCAGCTCTAGCAGAAGGATGAGGGGACATTGGAGGGTGAAGCATAAAGAGCACCAGAAGGAAAAGGGAGGAGAAGCTGTGCATGGAATTCTTTTGCTCTTATATGTTGAATTTAGAGTTCTGTCCAACCATTTTTTCCAAAGCAGCATTTTTAAAAAAGAACTTTGAATATATCATTTTAAAAAGAGTGTAGGAACACAATTTGCAAGCAGCGTTGTGCCATCTTGACAATAATTATGGGTTCAGGGCTACTGAAAATGTTGTTCTCTTCTTTTTTTGGCAAATAAACACTAATTTTCTGGTAGCAAGTATAAGACTGCCAGTTAATGGAAATCAAAACCTAAAATTAGCTCCTGTAACCAAAGATGTAACATGAAAGAATTTCACCAGTGGAGCAATATCTATTTCTAAAGCTCAGTGGCTGTGTATGTTGCCAGGATCCCACACGGTTCCACAGACTTCAGTGCCAATTCCATTGTTCAATATCTTCATCATGGCTGATACACATGGAAATATTCTAGGCTAGTGGAGTTCAAGCATTCTCTACATAGGGAAGTATTTCTACATTGATCCATCTATGTTGCAAAGGATTCTGCACCACATTCTAGGCCACACTCTGAGTTTCTGAGCTGAAAAAGCATTCAGGGTCATAATGCAAGCTTTGTATTTGAGATGAGTGTAACAGGTTCCTGAGATTCCCGTTTCTGAGTCAGGAAATATAAATTCTGGCAATATCTCTACACGTAGCTCAGTGCTGTCTGCTTTTGTTGGTAGTGGCTCTCCAGGACTGCAGGCTAAAGTACCTTGCTTTTAACCTGACTGGCCATACCAACGATGGAACCCAGAGGCCCTGGCATAAATAACGTGTGCTGTGCCACTAAGCCATGCCTCCATCTGCAAATTTAGCAGTAAACTGCTAACTGATAAGAAAGTCTGTACAGGTGCAGGTAGAATAAGAGGAAGTCTACATTACAAAACGCAAACCATGATGAAATAAGTTTAACTGTCAGGACTCCTGACTAAGAATCTCAGAGAACTGCCAGTTTATGAAGGTCTAGAAATATAAAATAAAAATATCCCAGGATATTCACAGAACTGCAATTTAGTTCACTGGGGAAGGCATGCTAGTTACCGGTAAATTGTCAGTTGCATGCCATTCTAAGTTGTTTCTGTGGTATCCCAACTTTCAGTAAAAAAATGGCAAATTTTTGTGCAATGTTTGTATGATCACATATTAGGTAAAAGTGTTTCATTTAAGGAGCAACAGCTACACTGTGATATTAATGTTTGAAACTCTGGATGGTTACTGAGGTCAGTTCCCTACCTGGAAATACCACTTTTAAAAAAGTTCTTAGGATAGGAGACAACCCACAGAGGTACTTGCCTTCCTTCTCTCCTTGCTTTGGTTAGTGTGCCTTTTATGATACCGTAGGTAGTTCAAAAGTGCTGTTGAACCAAGGGCTGCACTTAACTTGGAGGTGCCATGCCGGAGCCCAAGCTGACGCGTAAGTGCAGGCGCCCCAGAGCCCAGTACGCCACTTCCCAAAGCAGTGTAGTCTGGGGCTGGCTTTGCCGCGCACTGAGCTGTTATGTCACCCCCGGCCACTAGAGGGCGACCAAGGAGGGTGAAACCGGCACGCACAGGCCCTGCGATCCCCATGGGCCCTGCAGCGTGCCCGGTCCACGGCGACTGTCCTGCGCTGTCTGAAAAAGCAGCATCCAGCCGCCGCCTCCCCCTCAGCCGCGCTCCAGTTGGAGCGTGCCCCACAGGAACACAACAACTTGCACCCCAGCCCTGTGCTTCTTTTGCAGGCAGTGCTGGGCTGCCGCACACCCCCCACATCCCACTCAGTCGCCGTCCAAGTGGAGGGCGCTGAGAGGGACAAGGTTCCAGCAGCTTGCCCTGCCCCACCTCACCCCGCTTCCATGGGTGGCTTTCCCCAGGCGCCCCTGCAGGTTGCTACACCGCTGTGTGAAGGTGCTTCTTCTTTTTTTATACATATCACCATTGATGGCAGGTTGCAGTGCCCTGGAAACAGGAAGAAACACTCCAGTGTTTCCCAGGACGGCTCAGTAGTCTTTGGAGCAGATTGTTGCAGACCACTCAGAGCACCCCTCGGTGCTTTTCTTCTAGGAAGAAAGGTGTCGGTACCGCGTTCCCTTGAATACCCCCAGGGAAAAAGGCATTGTCACCCCTCAACCTAGTGGGCACAGGCAACAATAGGCGTACACAAACTGGACAAGACAACATTATGGGAATTAAAATGGGCCACAACCTTTATTGATTACAGATGTATTTAGGCCTCCAGATGGAGGGCTGAAACTTAAGTAGGGTTGTGCCTGGGACCAGGGGCGCCATCCATGCTGAGTTGTGGGGGCTGAGGTCTCCCCAAATTTTAAATGAGGGAGCCATGCCCCCTTAATATTCCATAGCCCACACTGTGAGACATGGCCCAATAGGGCCTGTTGCAGCTGCGGCAGGCCCCGTTGGGCCTTGGGGGGGGCACAACAGGGCATGTCAGGCCTCTGTTCACAGTCAGCGCGTGTGATATCACATGCATGCACTGGTCCCCCACAATGTTGGGCAGAACCCAGCACACCTGCCTGGGATTGAGGCCTCCTCAAGATGCAGGTCTACTGAGGTGGCCCTCAGTGGAAACTAACACCAACAGCACTGTTTCTAGAACCTCTCACTATTCACAGAAGTCAGGGACAGTGCATGGCATCATGTTACACTGGAAGGAGTACTGCATTTGAGTGTGCAAATCCTGTACAGCCTCATGCTAATTCCTCTTAACGCAACCCTACATGTTTATCACAAGCTCTGAGAGCTTCCAAACGTTGATGCACCTTAGATTATTATTCCTTTAAACTCTCATTTGGAAGCATTACAATACTTTCCACTCAGGGTTTGTGCAAACATTGTGCTTTCCTCAACATCTTACCCCTATAAATTAATGTCTCCCTGAGGCAGTTGCCCTTTGTCCCCATATTATGCTCCAGGCAGGCCACAGAAACTGCAGCAGATTCTTGCTTAACCTCTCCTGAATTGTCTCGTCACTGATTAGATTTAGCTGCAGCTATTCAGAGGTCAATGCTGCAGCTGCTACAGCAACCAGGAAGCAAAATAGAGGTTGAACACAAGCCATTTTTTGCTTTTTCTGCTACTCTGAGCAGCACTTGACACAACTGCAAATCTGTTTTCCTCTCTGGTGCACTTTGCAACAGAGCTGAAAATCGGGCTTATGATTCATTTTAGCGGCTAATAAGGCTGAACAAGAGTTCTAATTATGAGCAAACATGCCATGAATGAGGTTAATTTTACTGCAATCCCAGGGGTGGCACAGAAGAAAATGAATGGAAGCAAGGAAAGGGAGAGTTCCTTTATACGTTGAGCCTTGAAACTGTACAATATGAGAAAGGAGGAGGTTTTGCTCTGCATTCTTCTCCCATGACAAGATTTAAAACATTCAGCCCCACTGACTGCATCTTGCTCCTCTGCCAGGAGACAGACATAAGAGATGCATAAACAGGATCACACACAGGGACTCCATACAGTGGTACCTCAGGTTACAGACATTTTATGTTACAGACGCTTCAGGTTACAGCCTCTGCTAACCCAGAAATAGTAGCTCAGGTTAAGAACTTTGCTTCAGGATGAGAACACAAATCGTGCTCCGGAGGCGCGGCAGCAGCAGGAGGTCCCATTAGCTAAAGTGGTGCTTCAGGTTAAGAATAGTTTCAGGTTAAGAACAGACCTCTGGAACGAATTAAGTTCTTAACCCGAAGTACCACTTTACTTGAAATCTGAAATATGGACATTATTTAATCTGCATCCACTGGTGAGAGTTGAGAGCAGGGAGCTGAGCAAACCGTGGTCATGGTCACACCACATTCTGGTGAAGTTCAGTTTGTCAGTAGGTAGTGGGAGGAACTATTAAGATGTTCCACCCTTGGAGACTGATGGAATCTGATGTGATGTCACTCTGCTCATCTGCAGCAGGGTGGGCAAATCTGTCTCTTATGTTGCCTTCTTATACCCTATTCCATTCTGTTCCATTTCTAAATGAACCTGCTAAGTTTAAAAGTACATATTTTAAAATCCTCGTCTTAATACATTTTAGCATGTATTCATTTTTTTCTTTTCTTTTCTTAAAGATACTAATTTAAATGTCTATTTTCTCTCAAAATAATTTATCTTGATACCTTGGTGCCTTTAAACTGCCAAGAATTGCATCACAGCATCCAGAGCAATGCAAAAGTTGTTGAAGTGCAGATCAGGTCATTTCATACAGGAGTCTGCAAATATCAAATCCCTCAGATAAGCTAAATCCACATCCTTTCTCTGGAGGAAAGAGCCTGGAACTTGGATTATGACATCAACTGCCAGGGATCAGGAAAGACCATTGGAAACTCTTCTATGCTTCCCTGGTATATGTTGTACTTTTTTGTAGATTTTAGCTCTCAACGTTTAACAATTTTAGGAGTTGATATTGGTTGAAAAGCAGCCTTGTGACATTGTTGCACGCCACCCCAATCACCAGGCAGTGCAGGCGCTTCCCCAGGGTTCAGTTTCCTTAGAATGAAGGACAGCGGAAGCTGTAGTGTCTTTAGAATATATGGTTTATTTACACATATATACAACCTGAGCCTACAATGGAGGAGCTAACAGCATCAACATCCCAGGAAGGTCTTCTCCAATAGTCACAACCTTGTATTCAAGCGGAAATCAAGTCTCTCTCTCTCTCTCTGGCTTTTGGATTTCTCTTTCAACCCTTTCACTGCTTGGTTTCCCCTCTGTTGGGATCATCTTTTCCACTTTTCCACTAAAGAGGTAGGAGCATTACCTATCCCCAGGAATTTGTCCAAGTCCAAATTAAACCATAGTTTGGACCTCCTTGCTAATAAGGATGACAAACCTAAGCAAGTTTCACCATGATAACTTGTAGCTAAGCAATAAGGAACTCCAGGGAGGCCTGGAAATGACATGGCGTTTGTACACACAGGTGTTACCTACTAACACATGAGGCTTTCAAGCCCCTGCTCCTCACTGTTTTGCCCTCTGAATGCATGGCTGTCTGGAGGCTTCTTCCAGGTCACCATCCTTTACCACTGGGCTTAATAGGTCACACATGAGGTCACAACCTTTTGATATAATCAGAGAATCATAGAATTGCACAGTTGGAAGGAACCCCGGCTCAATGTTTTCCTTGATGTGCTTTCTGCAAAACTATTACCAAACTTCGGCTGCACAAAGCTACCAAACTTTGGTACCAATTTGGAGCGAATCAGACAACATTGGATTTTGGGGTGGTACCTATGATCCCCGTTTCAAGTGTCAATTATTCCATTTGTGGGGTGCTGCAAAATGTGGGGTTTTAACTGCAAAACACTGCAAAATTTTTGCCAAACTTGGGTGCCAGTTTGGAGTGAATCGGATGGTGTTGGGTTTTGGAGTGACACCATGACCTGTTTTGAGTGTCAGTTACTCTGTTTGTGGGGCACTGCAAAACGTGGGGGGTTGCTGCAAAACACTGCAAAATGACTGCAAAACTTTGACATTAGTTTTGAGGGGATCCCAAATGTTGCGGTTTGTAGTTAATTAAGCTCCTGCAAGTCCCAAGAGCTTGAGGGGCCCTACCCTAACCCTAGTGCCTAGGAAGTAAAAAAGGAATTGAGGAATTCTCAGGAATGGTGATGTGAGGGATCCCTGCTCACACCTGTTCTTCAGCTCCTTTCTACAGCTCTGGTCACCTAACAAGTCCTTGACAGTGACTCACAAATTGCCTCTTGTTCTTTCAGTTTCTAGGGGATGTGACTGAGATGCTGACCTAATGATAGTGTAGTGTATATGTGTGTTTATTAAAAAAGCCTAATCATTGTGATGCCTTGTATTTTTATATTGTACGGATAGTATGTACAATATATGTACAGACAGTATATACTGAGTCACACCATTTGCCCATCTAGCCAGGGTTCCAGGCAGAGGGTATTTCACAGCCGTGTGACTCGAGAGTGGGAAGGTGGATCTTGGCTTGCAAAACATCTGTGGCCCCCTCACCTCTTTGTTGTTGTTCAGTCATTTAGTCGTGTCCAACTCTTCGTGACCCCCTGGACCAGAGCACGTCAGGCACTCCTGTCTTCAACTGCCTCTTGCAGTTTGGTCAAACTCATGTTAGTAGCTTCGAGAACACTGTCCAACCATCTCATCCTCTGTCGTCCCCTTCTCCTTGTGCCCTCAATCTTTGTCAACATCAGGGTCTTTTCCAGGGAGTCTTCTCTTCTCATGAGATGGCCAAAGTATTGGAGCCTCAGCTTCAGGATCTGTCCTTCCAGTGGGCTGATTTCCTTAAGAATGGAGAGGTTTGATCTTCTTGCAGTCCATGGGACTCTCAAGAGTCTCTTCCAACACCATAATTCAAAAGCATCAATTCTTCGGCGATCAGCTTCTTGATGGTTCAGCTCTCACTTCCATACATCACTACTGGAAAAACCATAGCTTTAACTATACGGACATTTGTTGGCAAGGTGATGTCTCTGCTTTTTAAGATGCTGTCTAGGTTTGTCATCACTTTTCTCCCAAGAAGCAGGCATCTTTTAATTTCGTGACTACCGTCACCAGCTGCAGTGATCATGGAGCCCAAGAAAGTAAAATCTCTCACTTCCTCAATTTCTTCCCCTTCTATTTGCCAGTAGGTGATGGGACCAGTGGCCATGACCTTAGTTGTTTTGATGTTGAGCTTCAGACCATATTTTGCGCTCGCCTCTTTCACCCTCATTAAGAGGTTCTTTAATTCCTCCTCAATGCCATCAAAGTTGTGTCATCTGCATATCTGAGGTTGTTGGGATTCATCCAGTCCAGCCTTTCACATGATGAATTCTGCATATAAGTTAAATAAGCAGGGAGACAGTATATAGCCCTGTCAACCCCTTTCCCAATTTTGAACCAATCAGTTGTTCCATATCCAGTTCTAACTGTAACTTCTTGCCCCACATAGAGATTTCTCAGGAGACAGATGAGGTAATCAGGCACTCCCATTTATTTAAGAACTTGCCATAGTTTGCTGTGGTCGACACGGTCAAAGGCTTTTGCGTAGTCAATGAAGCAGAAGTAGATGTTTTCCTGGAACTCTCTAGCTTTCCCCATAATCCGGCGCGTGTTTGCAATTTGGACTCTGGTTCCTCTGCCCCTTCGAAATCCAGCTTGCACTTCTGGGAGTTCTCGGTCCACATGCTGCTTAAGCCTGCCTTGTAGAATTTTAAGCATAACCTTGCCAGCATCACATGTTTTGTGATTGTGCAATTGTGCGGTAGTTAGAGCATTCTTTGGCACTGCCCTTCTTTGGGATTGGGATGTAGACTGATCTTCTCTAATCCTCTCACCACTGCTGAGTTTTCCAAACTTGCTGGCATATTGAGTGTAGCACCCTTTTAAAATTTTTAATAGTTCAGCTGGAATATCATCAATTTCACTTGCCTTGTTATTAGCAGTGCTTTCTAAGGCCCATTTGACTTCACTCTCCAGGATATCTGGCTCAAGGTCAGCAACCACACTACCTGGGGTGTACGAGACATTCATATGTTTCTGGTATAATTCCTCTGTGTATTCTTGCCACCTCTTCTAGATGTCTTCCCCTTCTGTTAGGTCCTTACCACTTTTGTCCTTTATTCTTTATTATGGTAATCTTTGTACGAAATGTTCCTTTCATATCTCCAATTTTCTTGAACAGATCTCTGGTTTTTCCCATTCTATTGTTTTCCTCTATTTCTTTGCATTGCTCATTTAAGAAGGCCCTCTTGTTTCTCCTTGCTATTTTTTGGAAATCTGCATTCAATTTCCTGTATCTTTCACTATCTCCCTTGCATTTTGCTTGCCTTCTCTCCCCCGCTATTTGTAAGGCCTCGTTGGACAGCCACTTTGCTTTCTTGCATTTCCTTTTCATTGGGGAGGTTTTCGTTGCTGCCTCCTGTATAATGTTGCGAGCCTCCATCCATAGTTCTTCAGGCACTCTGTCCACCAAATCTAAATCATTAAACCTGTTCCTCACTTCCACTGTGTATTCATAAGGGATTTGATTTAGATTGTATCTTACCGGCTCAGTGGTTTTTCCTACTTTCTTCAGTTTAAGCTGGAATTTTGCTATAAGAAGCTGATGATCTGAGCCACAGTCAGCTCCAGGTCTTGTTTTTGCTGACAGTATAGAGCTTCTCCATCTTTGGCTGCAGAGAATATAATCAATCTGATTTCGATGCTGCCCATCTGGTGATGTTCATGTGTAGAGTCCTCTCTTGTGTTGCTGGAAAAGAGTGTTTGTGATGACCAGCTTGTTCACTTGACAGAACTCTATTAGCCTTTGCCCTGCTTCGTTTTGAACTCCAAGGCCAAACTTGCCAGTTCCTGCTTTTATCTGTTGAGCATTCCAATCCCTTATAATGAGAAGAACATCCTTCTTTGTTTGTTTTTAATATTATTATTATTTTTCCTTTATAACAACCAAATAAAATTTCTGCATTGCTGTTATGGTTTCTATTATATATATATATATAAAAAAAATTTTTATTAAAATTTTTCATTATATCAATTCCAATATCAAACAAATTTTCACAAATTTCAATTTTTGGACTTCCATCAGCTTCACTGTCAAACATCCATATTTTCCCATTTTTACACATTTTCTAAGTTTAAGATTGCATTTTAATATTACTTTTTCAATCCTCTTTCTGTTTAACAATATTCCTCTACCTTTCACAAAGCCTCTTTAAATCCCACTAGTGTTGTTTGTTCATCACATATACTTTTCAGATATTCAGTAAATTTTCCCCAGTCCTCGATGAACTTGTGGTCCTGTTGATATCTAATCTTCCCAGTTAGTTTGTCCAGTTCAGCATAGTCCATAAGTTTCATTCTCCATTCTTCAAGTGTTGGTATTTCTTCCTGTTTCCATTTTTGGGCCATTAATATTCTCGCTGCTGTAACTGCGTATTGAAAGAGTTTATTGTCCCTTCTATTTATTTTACTTCCTATTATTCCTAACAGAAATGCTTCTGGTTTTTTTACAAATGTATATTTCAACATCTTCAATTCTTCTTCAATTCAATTTTCATAATATTCTCTTTTAACGCAGTACATGCTGTAAATTTTATATTTACATTCCATACTTTCCCCCCAATCATCCAATTGTATATTATATCCCAAATCTTTGGCCCAATGTATCATCACCGACTTTACTTCCTCATCCATCGTTTGCCATTCTAACAACATTCCATACATTTTTGACAATGTCTTATAATCACTGTTAATGATCTCTGTTTGAAATTTCGATTCTTTTTCTGCATATCCACTCTCTTTACAATCCTTTTTGAACATTTCATTTACCTGAAAATAGTGTAACCAATCAAACACAAATTCTTTTACTTGTTCATATGGCTTCATTTTCCACTTTCCTCCTTCCAGTTCCCTCTCATATTTATTTTCTTTACACTCATAACCTCTAATGGGGACAACCAGTGTGGAACTTTAGGTTCTAATATATTTTTATACCTATCCCATATTTCTATTAAAGATCTCCGGAAAATATGATTCTCAAAACCCTTATGGCTTTTCTTCTTCTCCAACCATAGATACGCGTGCCATCCAAATCTGTTATCAAATCCTTCAAAATCTAACAGTTTGTTATTTTTTTAATTTTATCCATGCTTTTAACCAACAGAGACAGGACGCTTCGTAATATAATTTCAAGTCTGGCAGGGCAAAGCCTCCTCTTTCTTTCGCATCTGTTAATAATTTAAATTGTATTCTTGGCTTTTTGCCCTGCCAAATATATCTTGAAATTACTCTTTGCCACTCTTTAAAAATCACAGTCCCTTTGATTATAGGAATCATTTGAAATAAAAATAACATCTTTGGAAGCACACTAATTTTAATCGTTGAAATTCTGCCCCAAAAAGATCCTTCGCCATACCTCCAGGTCTTTTTCAATTCCGTTCCACACTGGTACGTAATTATTTTGAAATAAATCAATGTTTTTGGAAGTTAACCATATTCCCAAGTATTTCACCTTCTTCGCCACTTCAATCCCTATTTATTGTTGCATTATTTCTGTTACATTATGATCCATATTTTTTACAATTACTTTCGTTTTTTTCTTATTTAGTATAAACCCGGCTACCTTACCAAATTGGTCAATCTCCTCCAGTACCTCGTTTAGACTTTTTAGTGGATCTTCTATCGTTATTACCAAATCATTGGCAAAGGCTTTAACTTTATATTCATTCTGACCTACTGTCACCCCTTTTATAAGCCCATTTTGTCTAATCGAATTCAAAAGAACTTCCAGGACCATTATAAATAACAGTGGCGAGAGAGGACATCCCTGTCTTGTACCTTTCGATATCTTCACTTCTTCCATAATCACATTATTGACAATCAGTTTTGCTTTCTGTTCTGTATAAATCGCCCTTATCCCATTATAAAAATCTTTTCCAACCTCCATATACTCTAAATTTTTTAACATAAATTCCCATGATATATTGTCAAAGGCCTTTTCTGCATCTACAAACATTAGTATAGCTTGTTTCTCATTCCTGGCAGTCAGATATTCCAAAATATTAATTATATTTCTAACATTATCTTTCATCTGTCTGCCTGGGAGAAAACCAGCTTGATCTTCATGGATAAGTTCTTGTAAAACCTTTTTCAACCTTTTTGCTAATATTCCAGAAAAAAAATTGTAGTCTGTATTCAATAATGAAATCGGCCTGTAATTCTTAACTTGTGATAAATCAGAGTCTTGCTTGGGAATAAGTGTAATGAAGGCTTCTTTCCAAGATTTCGGGATATCTTTTTCCTTCAAAATGCTATTCATAACTTTCAGTGGTACCGTCAGGATATGTCTCAGTTCCTTATAATAGCAAGATGTAAAACCATCTGGTCCTGGAGCTTTCCCTCTTTTTAATTCTTTTATGACCTCTATTATTTCCTCATTCTCAATTGGGGCGTTCAGTCTGTCTTTCTTTTCCGTCGGGATCTTCTGCACCTTTTTATCTTTTAAGTATCTTTCTATTTTCTTCATATTATTCTTTTCTCTGTTTCTGTACAAATGACTGTAAAAGTCCAAGAATCCTTTCCTGATACCTTTCGGATTTTCTATTTCTTCTCCATCCACAACAATTTTATTAATTGTGTTTTGTTCCTTTCTTTTCTTGATTTGCCACACGAGCCATTTGCCCGACTTGTTAGCGAACTCAAAATTCTTTTGTCTTAACTTTTTGATGTTCCATTCCACCTCTTTGTTTATTATCATAGCAAATTGTGTTTGCAGAACTTTAATGTTTTGTTTTATCTTTAAATTATTGGGTTGCTTGATTAGTTTTTGTTCATTCTCCATTATTTGTTTTAAAATTTCCTTCTTTCCTTTCTATACTTATTTTTGATTGCATTTTGCTGAATGAAGAATCCTCTCATTACCGCCTTACTTGCATCCCAAACTATACTCATCTTTGTGCCTTTATTACAGTTATCCGTGAAATAGTCCATCAACTTCTTTTGTGCCTCTTGTATGATTTTTTGATCTGCTAAGAGGTAATCATTAATTCTCCATCTGAATGATCTTTCTTCATAACCTTTTATCTCCAATTTTATTGGGCTGTTATCCGAAATTACTCTAGGTTGGATTTCAATTTGAAGAATTCTTGGAGTTAATTCATTTGAGACCCAGATTTGATCTATTCTTGACATTGACTGATTTGGATCTGAGTAGATTAAAAATAATTATATAACTTCCATCGATGTTTAGTCTTTTTTCTCTATTTCTTTGAGGTATCAAATTTCTCATTTCTCTATCTTTGAAGGTAATTAAACAATCTCCTGGAACTTTCTTTGATTTGGTTGTTCTTACTCTCATCCTGAATGCGTTCTGTACTGTTCTCGCAACCTCATCATTTTGTAACTCCATCCATTGTGCTATCTCTGTTATTAATTTCTCTCTAATGTTCTCACCTTGAACCTCGGGCATGGCTCTCAGTCTGAGGTTCACTTCCCTCTGTCTCAATTCGTTCATAGCAATAGCGTCCCATATCTCCTCCTGTGATTTGTTAACTTCAGATAAACCCGCTTTGATTTTCTCCTCCTCACGTTTCACTTCCTTCATTTCCATTCTTGTCTTCTTCATTCCCTCTTCCAGAGATTGTGTTCTTTTCGATACCTCTTTAATTTGCCCCTTCAATTCATTTACTGTCTCATCAATTTTTTTGTCCATTTTTCCTATTCTAGTATCTACTTGTTCAATTCTCGTATCCACTTGTTCTAATTTTTCTTCCAAATTCTTTTCACTTTGCCTAATTTCTGCAAACATTTTTAATATTTCTCCTTTAAAATCTGATTCTTGTTTGGATCCTCTTCTATCTGCTGGCGTTCCCCCCTCACCTCCTTTCTTCGGTTGGTGGGACATTCTCACAAATATAGTTTACACACTTATCACTTAGTAATCCAAATTAAAAAATAAATTTTCCCCACTGCTTCAGACAACCTTCTAAATACACCACCGAAAACCAAATATATCCAATTACTTTCAAATTTTACGATCTATATGTTCTTAATTTAGTCTTTTGTATATTCCTTCAAATCCCACTTTCAAAGTCCAGATATCTTCAGCCCAGTTGGATCCTTAAACTTAAAATACTGTGAGAAAAGGAGACACAGATTCGATGTCCAAATTCTTCTTGCCACCAATTAGGCTAATCCTTTAGGAACGCACAGTAACCCATTTGTAATCCAATTTATAATCCAATTTGTAATCCAATTTCGTTCATATTATATCACCAAAGAAGAGTTACTTTCCCTCCAAAAAATAATCCAAAGTTCTAAATCTTCTGCCTCCAATTAGGCTAATCCTTCCAGACCTTTATAAGCCAATTATAATTTAAATTGTAATCCAATTTTGGTAATTGTGTCCAAATAAATGTTCCAATTAAAAAAAAAAAGAAAATTGAAATAGTACTAAAATTAAGCCAAATAAAAAAACATCCAAGTGGATACTTCACAAAAACTCATTATTGAGGACAAGGAAAAAACCAGAGACATCCAACCCCTAAAAAGGAAGAGAAAGCAAAAAAGAACAGCAAAACAAAGTAGAGCCAGGAGAACAAAGAAAATCCAGTAAAAAAACAAGTTGTAGTTCCTCTTCTGTCCACAGGGGGCCTAAGCTCCCAAAACAAAAGTTTTTGAGGGAAGTCTAAAAGTCCAACTTTATTTAAAGATTTCCTTATTAAAAAATCATAATCGAAATCCAAATGGTAATAGTGGCTAGTAAAAGTAAATAAAATCACTTCAAAAAAGCGATCGAAATGCCCAAAATCTAATGAATTTATGTCCTTTCCGTGATTGCAGAAGACAGACAAAAGACAATGGAGTCGGAAGCTCCTCTTCTGTTGCACAGTTTTTTTAAAAAAGTGAAACTGGGAACATTCTTGTATCTCTTTTCTCCCACAGTTACAACGAGGACCTTCAAATTCTAAAATTAATCCTCCGCCCCCCCTTTTAACTTAGTTTCGCCTTAAGTTACTCTGTATCTTTTTAGAGAAATATTTCTCAAGTAGTCAAAAGGGGGAAAGAAACAAGCCGCGAGCGGTAACTCACTTCCCTTTTCTCCGGCTTGCTTGTAGAATGCGTTAACACTGCTTGCAGATGACAGCTGATCTCCACATTTATCAGTTTTGAATCCGAATCCTTTCTGATGTTAAATCCGCTTCCTTATAATCAATTTAGGACCGAATTTCTTAGACTGGAGAATTAAGCGCTTCCCCTGCGAGCTTGGGGCTTCGTTTTCCAGAGGTAGCTATGGCTTCCCTTCAGCCCGCTTCTCCCCCCTGCCGCACTCTTTGCTCCCGTCGGGAGTTACCTGGCAGCCAGACGGTCTGCGTTTCGGCTGTCGCGGGAACCTGAGTATCTGGACACCCTCCAGGTACTACTTCTACGGGCCACTGCGCCCTGTGGCACCCCTAAATCCTCCGAAAAACCCGGGATTCTCCGCTAGGAAGACATCCCCGCTCACGACGGGATCGCGCTCAACCGGAAGAGTGTTGTTATGGTTTCTAAGGGGTTGCTCGTGCGCAAGCAAGCAACTATTTCCCTGGCTGGGTGCAAACACCTGGCTGGGTTGCCAAAGTAAACTTTATCTGTACGGACGCCACTCGCCCATGGCTGACTCAGTCGCTGGCAGAATCCGTGAGTGGGCGTTTCTTGAACTTCTTCCAGCAAAGAAGCTCTTTGACGCCTAGTCTCCTCCTACCCTCTCTGCGCGAAAGCCTTCTGCGCAAGGAGGGCGTGGGCAACGGAGGACCCCTACTCTCCCCGCTGGTCCCAGGAAAGGAGTCATGGGACCGCCTCGCCGCTTCCCCCATCTGCCCCCCTTCTCCACTGGTGCTATGCTGATTCTCTTCCCCAGAAGATGGGCTGCTTCTCCCGATCCCTGGACGCTCTCTGGAATCCCTCTGGCTTTTGCTCTCTCCCTCCGGCACTGATGGCAGTTCCCTGACAATCACATATATACTTGCTCAAATTGAGCTTTGACTTCCTCCTGCACCCTCCCTGACTTCCATATGTAATCACTTTTTTCTTAGCATTTCTAAATCACCCTATTTACCTTATCTCAATACTTAAAAAAACTTACTTCCAATATTTATGTTTTCAAATGTTTACAATGTTCCTTCATATATTGTACAAATTTACTCCAGTCCTTTCCAAAGAGTTTGTCATGCTGGTTGCGGATTTTCCCTGTCAGTCTCGCCTGTTCGGCATATTCAGTCATCTTCGTCTGTCATTCTTCCAACACTGGAAGTTCCTGCTGCTTCCATTTCTGGGCTAAAAGTATCCTTGCTGCAGTGGTAGCATACATAAATATATTTATGTCTTTTTTGGGAATTTCTTCACCTATTATCCCTAATAAAAAGGCCTCTGGTTTTTTACTAAAGGTATTTTTGAAAATCCTTTTCAGTTCATTATACCGGTATATAGGCTTTAATCTTAGGACATGTTCACCACATATGAAAGTAATTCCCTTCCGAGAAGAACAGCCTTCTTTGGTGTCATTTCTAGAAGGTGTTGTAAGTCTTCATAGAATTGGTCAATTTCAGTTTCTTCAGCACCGGTAGTTGGTGCATAATCCTGGATTACAGTGATGTTAAAAGGTCTGCCTTGGATTCGCATCAATATCATTCTATCATTTTTGAGATTGCATTCCAGTACAGCTTTTGCTACTCTTTTGCTGACTATGAGGGCCACTCCATTTCTTCTATGGGAGTCTTGCCCACAGTAGTAGATACGATTATCATCCGAACTGAATTTGCCCATTCCCATCCATTTTAGTTCACTGATGCCCAGGATGTCAATATTTATTCTTGCCATCCCATTTTTGACCACATCCAGTTTACCATGGTTCATGGAACTTACATTCCAGGTTCCTATGCAATATTTTTCATTACAGCATTGAACTTTCCTTTCACTTCCAGGCACATCTGCAACTGAGTGACCTTTCAGCTTTGGCCCAGCTGCTTCATCAGCTCTGAATCTACTTGTACTTGTCCTCCACTCTTCCTCAGTAGTATGTTGGACACCTTATGACCTGAGGGGCTCATCTTCTAGCGTCATAACTTTTACATGCCTGTTGTTTTTGTCACCTCTTAGCCACTTACAAAACCAAGGTATTTACTGCAGAGAGGAGCATATTGTGAGATGCTATTTGTCTGTGTCAGATCTCTCCACTTTACAGAACAAGCTATAGTTGTCTGTCAGAATGGCTTCACGAAAGCGGTTACCAAGCATAATACAGAAGCTTTCTCATCAGAAGTCTTCAACCTTCTCTTTTTAACTCACTTGCCTTTCAACTGAACAATTTGCCCTACCATATGGCAAAGGCTGAGGTCAGACAGATAAAATATCTCATCACACAATAGAATGGTTAACCAACATGTGAGTTGGTACAATGAACACATCGTAAAAGTGTTGCAAAAGCCAGCTGAAAAGAAGCTTCAGCTTAAGGCAGGAAATCTGCTTCCCAGCCCCAGCCCCAGCCCTTCCAGTTCATTACAGATATTGTGCAAAGAAAAAAGGCCTCTGAGCCCTCCCTTGGCAATCTGTGCCTGGCTCCTCTGACAGATTTCTAATGACTTTTCAATGATAACAACTTAAAATGGCTTTGTACCTTGGCATTGAGGTTTCATATCTTATCCTTCTCACATGCAGATCTAGAGTGACTTGAGTGCATGCAGGTGGGTGTGCAAATACACCCACACCCACCAACACTTTTGTGGCATTTTCACTTCATTTCAGTATTCCCTGCACAGTTATTCATAAAGATCAACCTAGTGGGGGAAAGACTCCTGTCTTTCCACTCTCTGGCTTCACCACCAAAAGGCTTCTCTCTTTTCCACTGGAAGAGGCTCCATCATGTTCTGTGAGGAGTGTGTGTGTGTGTGGAAGTGGCAGAGACTCTTGCTCACCCCTACAAAGCAACCGGAACTGAGAAGCTCATTTTCCACCATTGCATTACACCTCAGTCATTCCTTGCTGTCTAAGATATGGACACTCCCAGACTGTCATCTCCTTTACACACCTGTTAACTCCTTCAGCCTCTGTGGAGAGCAGAGTTGTGTGAGCTGAAGTGAGCAAAGAGAGGAACCCAAGGCAACAGGAGTAGAAAAGGAGCCTGAAAAAAATGCTAAGTCCTGAGGCAGGAAGCAGAACCTGAAACATTCGAAAATAAATTGCAAGACTACTAGCTCATATACTGTATGGTCCATAAAAGAATTGTTTCCACCGCTAATTCCATGTACTGCATGTTCCTTGCTTTAAAAACTAGTGTGGGACTTACTATTCTTTTTTACAGAGTAAAGAGGTGACCTCTCTCTTTAGGTGTTACGTGGCTTGACAACAGAAGGAGGCCAGGAGCTTGCCTTAATGCCTTTTGATGGCTGCTTCCATTCACTGGGAAATGTGTTGTGTTCCACTGCCCTATTAGGGGGTGGGGGCAGCAAAAGGAAGCAGGTTTTTCCTCCAGAGCAAACCCAAACACCGATTCACTGATTCAGTCCAGGTGCCAAAATAACTTGGCTAGCCTTGGATACTATGTACCTTGACCTGGTAGGGTATATTTGCTATTGCACCTCAAGCGGTAAAATGTCTTGGGCCACTGAGTTCTGAGGAAGACACCTTTAGTTGCTGACAAGAAGTGGCCTTGGGTAATGCTGTAGAGGAGAGTAGTTACATATGGGGAAAGTGGCTGAACTCAGCATGGATTGGGTCCCTTTCCCCATTAAAAAAACCCCCTCAAAGTGGCTTGTCTACAAATAGAAACATTCACAACCATACTTTAAAACATGTGGAAGTTAAAACACTAAAGAAGTTAAAAACTATCCCAACTTCCTAAGCATTTGCAACAGGTGGTCCAACGCATGGCCCAACAGCTGCATGCGATCCTTGAGACCTTTTTGGAAGCCTTTGGCAACATCTGCCCCCCCCTGCCTTCCCAAAACCAGGTAAGCGAGGTGCTGGGCTTTGGGAAGGAGGTGTGAAGGCTCTGGCAGGGTCCTAGAGTCCTCCTGCTCCTTGCCAAAGCCCTAGTTAGTGCTTTCCCAGCTTTGGGAAGGAGATGGGATGGCTTTAGGACCCTGCCAGAGCCCATGCACCTCCTTCCCAAAGCCCAGCACCTCACTGAGCCAGCTTGGGGAAGGCATTTCAAGGGTTGGGGCATCCAATTTTGGCCTTGCTCCCTGCCTCCCACATAACAAGGCCATGTGTGGCCAGCGGGTTCCAGATCTTGCAGCCCCCTTAGTATAGACTGTTGGACCACCTGCTCTAAGATTTGCATTTAGTGGCTTTTAGTGTTGATTTTCTAGCCCACTTTTAGCACTGATGTTGCTTCTGCCTTCAGCACCATTCAGACCTAACCCAGCAACTGCAGCAAAAAGATCTTTGTCCAGTGCTGTGTTCAGGGAGGTGTGTCATCCCCCCCCCCCTTATTAAGAAGGAAAATCAAAGAGTTTAATCTTTTCTGGTCTCACCCTGAGGACTATCTTCAGCTTTGCCACGGCCTCTTAAAAGAGATTTACCTCACTCCGTGGTGAAGGTGCTCAAATTTTTACAGCTATCTAGGAAAGAGGCTGCACACAGTACAGGCATAATTAAACCATCACTAATCAGAGAGCAACAATGAATAATGGATGTATCCTCATTAGCAGGTCCTCCCCAAATCCACCATTTGGGGTAATTCATATGTCCTGATTTGCCTCAGACAGCAATAATCAACGGAGAGTTGCTATTGACTTTGTCATCCAGTTGCTTTACGGCAAGTATAGTTCAAATAAATGCTGGTTTTTAAAAAAGCTTAAATCAAGTGTACTTTCACATAGAAAGTACTCTTGATTATAAGCTTATTTTTTAAAAAACCCCAACATTTATAGCCTAGGTTAAAGTGGCCTGGGACAATAAAATATATTACACACTTGTTATAGAAATATATATCATTCCAGGTCTGTGATAGCTTTTCCTTTAGATTTAGCTTGATCATTTCCTAGTAAAAGAGAAACACCAGGACTAGATTTTAATATATTTCACAGAGTAACATTTAAAACATAGTAAGCACAAATAAATTCAAAGTAAAACTTCCAAGTCTACAGGGGCAATGAATTCAGAACGAATACCAGGTGAGCAGGCATTATGCAATATATAATCTATCTATCTATCTATCTATCTATCTATCTATCTATCTGGTTATACATACCAGGCGTTGCTGTGCCTCTTATAGCAACCCCACCTGCCTGCCACACACCCCACCCTTTCCACTTGACCAATCCCCATCCCATTAAATCTGCACTTCAGCAACTCATTGCTGTAGCTCTCCCCATGGTAAACCTCCAGATCAGGGGTTGTCAACCTGGTCCCCATCACCCACTAGTGGGCGTTTCAGGATTTTAGGTGGACGGTAGGGGGTTCTATGGCACGAGCTGAATCCTCTTTCCATCAAGCACTGGTGGGCAGTAAGTAATTTTTATCATCAAGAAAGATGCATTAGTGGGCAGAAGGTATAAAAAGATTGATTACCCCTGCTCTAGAGCTTCCCTTTCCCACCCCACATAAGTACTAAGCCGCCTTCCCTACCCTGTTTATGAAGTGGCTCCTCTTTTCTATTCTGCAGTCCTGCTTTGTACCCCTATTTTCACTCTCACCGCCATGTTTGTGCTTCTTCCCAACTCCTTTTCTGTAGCCTCCCTCCTTGCACTTAAATGGCACTCCAGGCCACCTCCTGGGTCTTCTTCCCCACTCGACTGAGCCCTCTTTGCACACAGATCCAATTCTGAAGCATTCATTCCCTCCTGTTCTGCAGCCTTCTTCGTAACTGCTTTGTCACCTTTCCCCATTCCCATGCCTCTTCCTCCCTGCTCCTTTTCTGGCAACCCCCTGCCCAAGACACCTTGCAAAAGAAGCTCCTCTGAACATGTGCAAAATGACTTTTCCTCCCCGCCCACCATGTTTTTTTATACCACCAAATGACTAATCTCCATAGTTCACTGCATCTTCTTTTTCTCTTCCCAGCCCTGGAGATTCCCTCTTTGACATGCTCGCTCCTCCCACTTCCCTGTTTGGCATACTTCTCCCCCTCTTTTGCCCTATGGTACTTGCCCATCCTTGGGACACCCCACTTTCCCCTTTTAGCCTCCTCCTCCCTCCCTTTCTGGTAAACCCCATTTCCCACCTCCTATCATAAATCCCAATACAGTGGTACCTCGGTTTAAGAACAGTTCTGTTTATGAACTATTCGGTTTATGAACTCCGCAAAACCGGAAGTAGTGTCCCGGTTTGTGAACTTTACCTCGGTCTACGAAAGGAAGCCGAACGGTGGAAGGGCACCGGCGGCAGGAGGCCTCATTAGGGGAAGCGTGCCTTGGTTTAAGAACAGCTTTGGTTTAAGAATGGACTTCCGGAATGGATTAAGTTTGTAAACTGAGGTACCACTGTACTCCATTGTTCTGATCTAATGTAGCACATTCAACTTTCCTCCACCCATTCAAGAAACTTGCTTTTAGTATACTTCTTCCTCTTAACTTTTTATCTCCCTTCACACGCACACAACACACAGGCAGACCCACACCCGCTTTCTATCTCTTTTTTTCACAAACACATAGAAAACACACCCCCATCCCTTCCAGACGCACATGCATGCATTCAAGCACAAATCCCTTTCTCTCTCTTACTTGGGCTCACAAACAAACAAATTCTTCCATAGGTGGAAAAAGGCAGCAGTCTCCCCAGCAGACTCCACCCCTTGATAATATACCCCTGGCATTAGATTAAATGCTGTATGGAATCTCTATTTAACTCCACTTCCAATCAATTACAGAATAGCAGTGTCTCATCATCACTAGAGGACCAAAGGGTGAAAATACAGTATCTCCCTCTGTTCAGACTAGCAGTGCACTGTTACTTGGAAAAACATCCACAATATATTTACGGAAAACAGCCTGACAAAGATCCTCCCCTAAGATAAAGGCATGGGTCTTTAACTTGCCTACCATCTGAGACCAGGCTTGAACCAGGATGCTACCTCAGACGCATATCATACAGTGGTCCATGTGGTACAATTTCTGTTTTGCATTCCAGTTTGTCCAATTTAGCTTCACCTATATTGTGTCAAAGGCAGAGGAATATATCAAGTATATAAATAGAATTCAGCTAACTCAAGAAGAACAAATTTATCTTTTTTTGTCACAACTCCTTTGGCCCTCAGGAGCAGTTAACAAAAGCAGCACTGCACAAACCCATGGCAATTAACATAGCAACAAAGACTCTGAACTGCAGCACCACACAGTCAAGCTGAGAAACCAATTACACAGGGTTCTCCCGGAATGGCCACATACTCTTATCATTGGTAGATGATTTATTCCTTCCCTTTTATGCTAACCAGAAAAGGAATCCAGGCAGCCTCAGCACCTCTGTATCAAGTGGGACTTATTCTGTCATGGAGTAGGAGCATCAAGAACTAAATGTCTGTAGAAGGAGCAGCTTTAGAAGAGGTAGCACAGCCATTCCCTTCATGGCTTCTGATGAAACAGCTTGTGTTCCTACCAGTGCCGGATTTACATATAAGCTAAACAAGCTATAGCTTAGGGCCCCACTCTTCTGGGGAGCCCCCCAAAATTGAAAGGATGTACATTTCCAAAATATAAGATAAAAAACAAAATAAAACCTATATACAGCAACAGTGTGATGTGTTGTGTAGGCTCCTATTTGTTATGTGCAAATAGCTTTAGATACCTTTTGGCATATTCAGCACAAAAAACAGAGACAATTTGTTGTTGACAAAGGACAGCTGGACATAGAAAGGGCGCCATTACCTTCAGTAGCTTAGGGCCTCAACAAACCTAAATCCAGCCCTGGTTCCTACCCTCATCTGTGTCTGCAGCAAACTACAGAAAGCTCATCATAGTCATTGGAAATATTTGCCTGAATACATAGGCAAGAAATGAAACTTACTGGAATCCTTGTAATTACTAATCCCAGTAATATGAAAATCAGTCAGACTGGATACAATGCAAATTTCCCGTTCTGTTTACCCTGCTTTGGGGCTGTTCTTATGCTAAGTACGGTAATATGCAGAAAGGCATCATGTTGCTTCATTATGTGACAACACCAGCCAATCAGAAGGTGCATATTAGCATACCTGTTGCTTCAACAACTTTCTTGACTTCAGATTTATAAAAATAATTCACATTTATAAAAATCTGTAGCTTCAGAGCACATTTTGTATCTGAATCCAAAACTGTTCAGGTAAACTAAATGGACCTTTGCTAAAATTGAAGCAGCCTTGGTAGGGCTTGGCTTGTTTCTGAGGAAAGAAAGAAGCATTCAACAAAAGTGTTGTGTTAATGCTTATTATTATTTTCTAGGAAGAATTTAAAGGCCCTTTCTTGGGGAAAGGGGACTTAATCCCAAGACTTTTTCCAAAAATGAATAGCCCTCTTGAACCTTCCTCTATGGAGCTTTTGAACAGTGCCTTTAAAAGGCTAAATGCACATCATAAATATGGTATTTAGTGTCTGGCGTTTTCTAAGGCCCCTGAGACAGCTCAGCAAACCTCTGGCAGGAATCATTTCAAATTGGCTGGAATAATCACAGGTCTCAAAGGTTTGCAGTGACAAGATACACAATTAAGATTGTATGGGGGTGGGGGGTAGGAGGCTGCCTGAAGTTTCTTTCATGCTGTAGCTTATATGGAGAGGAAAGCTTGTGAAATGGCCCTTTCCCATTGCATTAATAATATCTGAATAGGAAAAGGGAACTTCTGAGCTCTGTAATACATAACACACACTGCTTCTGCCTAGCTCCCCTGCTGATTGATAGCTGGGGTTTTGTCCCTCCTGACATATGCTTTCTCTGTTCCTTCTCTTGCTCTTACCAACCCCCCCCCCCTTTCTCGGAGTAAAAGTATTTTGCTTTCAATGTGGAGAGGCGGGGGTGCAACTGAAGGGTCTGCATTCAAGAGCTCTTCATAAAGGGCTTCCTGGGCTGTGAGTCATCCCACCTCACCCGTTCCCGTCATGTGCTGAGCTACCAAACCCTCTGCCTCCCAGCACACTGGCTGTCAGAGTGCAGACACATCCCTCTTTCATATGAGAGATTGGCTGCATCTCCAGGGAAGCCCCCCATCTTGCTATAGCACAGAGCGCAGAGAAGAGAGGCAGATGTGAGAAACATTTAGCTGGTCTTAGGTGAATGTGGTAACACAGATTCATTAGCAAGGAAATGAAGCCCTTGACTAATGGAAAAGGTTGCCAGAGCTGGTTACTTGCTGGGGCCCAGACAAACAAAGAGCCCTGCTGGATCAGGCCAAAGACCCATCTAGTCCAGCACTCTGTTCTCACAGAGGACAACCAGGTGCTTATGGGGAAGCCTGCAAAGACACAAGCACAACACCCTCCCCCCACCTGGGATTCCCAGCAACTGGCTTTTAGAGGCAGAACACAAGACGCTGGGGCTGGGAGCCATCGATAGCCTGATCTACAATCCATTGGTCTAGTCCTCTTTTAAATCTTTCCAAGGCCTCCTGCTGCTGCTGCGCCGCTGCTGCGCGATTTCTGTTCTCATCCTGAAGCAAAGTTCTTAACCTGAAGCACTATTTCTGGGTTAGCGGAGTCTGTAACCTGAAGCGTATGTAACCTGAAGCATATGTAACCCGAAGTACCACTGTATTATGCCCTATATCCTGTGCCCATTTAATCATTACTGATTTAACTTCCTCATCTTTAGTTTCCCATTCCCAAAGTATGCCATATGCCTTTTTAACAGTTTAGAGTTGTCATCTATAACATCCCTTTGGAATTTGGAAACTGTATAGGCAAATCCTTTTTTATTATCCTCTTTAAAAAATTCATTCAGGTGATATCCACCACGGAGTTTTAGGTTCCAATAACTTTATATTTTCCCCCAAACCTTTAATAGGGACCTTCTTATTATGTGATTATGGAATCCTTTACGTACCTTTGCTTTCCCATACCATAATTATGCATGCCACCCAAATCTGTTATCATGTCTTTCTAGATCTATTGCCTCTTCTTTTTCTAATTTAATCCAATCCCGAATCCAAGTAAGACATGCTGCTTCATAATAAAGTTTAAAATCTGGAAGGGAAAAGCCTCCCCTTTCTTTTACATCTGTAAGTATTTTATATTTTAGTCTTGGCTTTTCCCCACTCCAGATAAATTTTGACATATCTCGCTGCCATTTTCTGAAGCAAGCATTATCACTTACTATCGGTATTGTTTATCTTTATTGCTGCAATTCTTCCTAAGAGGGAAAGATTCAACCTATTCCATATTTCTAGTTTCCTTTTTATTTCATTCCAAATTTTTCATAATTATCTTTATAAATATTAATATTTTTTGTAGTCAACCATATTCCCAAATATTTTACCTTTTTATGGACTTTTATATCTAAAGCTTCTGATAGCTCTTTCTTTTCTGCTTCTTTTAAATTTTTTAATAATAATTTAGTTTTGCTTTTATTAAGTTTAAAACCTGCCACCTGCCCAAACTTTTGGATCTTTTCTATAATTCTGGGGAGAGAATTCTGTGGTTCTTCAACAGTAATAACCAAATCATACGCAAATGCTTTCAGTTTATGTTCACTTGTCTTTACTCTTATTCCTATTATTTCTTTGTCCTCTCTAATATTCCTTGCTAAAACCTCCAGAACCAGATTGAATAAAAGTGGTGATAACGGGCATCCTTGTCTTGTTCCTTTTTGTATTTCATATTGATCTGTTATCACCTGATTAATAATTAGTTTTGCATTGTGTTCTGAGTAAAAAGCTTGGATTCCCTTATTAAATTTTGCTCCAAATTCCATTTCTTCTAAAACTTTTTTCATGAAATCCCAGGAAACATTATCAAAAGCTTTTTCTGCATCTATAAACATCAATGCTGCCTTCTTTTCATTTCTTACTTCCAGGTATTCGATTATATTTAAAACATTTCTTTTATTATCTTTCATTTGTCTACCTGGGAGAAATCCTGCTTGATCTTGATGTATATAATCTTCCAAGATTTTCTTCATTCTATTAGCAAGAATATATGCAAACAATATCATTGTTTAATAATGAGATAGGCCTATAATTTTTAACTAATGTTATATCTGCATTTTGGTACAGTGGTACCTCAGGTTACATGAAGTACCTGAAGTGGTACCTTCAGGTTACAGACTCTGCTAACCCAGAAATAGTACCTCGGGTTAAGAACTTTGCTTCAGGATGAGAACAGAAATCGAACGGCGGCAGTGAGGCGGCAGCAGGAGGCCCCATTAGCTAAAGTGGTACCTCAGGTTAAGAGCAGTTTCAAGTTAAAAACAGACTTCCAGAACGAATTAAGTTCTTAACATGAGGTACCACTGTATTAGTGTTATATAGGCCTCTATTCATGTTTCTGGGATTTCCCTGTTTTTAGAATCTCATTCATTGTGTCTTTTAAGGGGAACACAAGCTGCTCACTTAATTTTTTATAATACTTTGCCGAGGTTCCATCTGGTCCTGGAGATTTACCTGTCTTTGCCTGATTTATTGCTTCTAATATTTCTTGTAATGAAATATCTGCATTTAATACCATTATCTTTTCATCTTTTAATTTTGGGAGATTACTACTTTTTATATGGTCTTCCATCATCTTCCTTTCATGTCCTTTTTTATACAATTCTGTAAAAATTTTAGTAAAGGCTTCCCTTATTTCTCTTAGTTTATCAGTGACTTTTCCATTATGCTTAATTTTATTTAAGTGGGTTTTTTGCTCATTTTTCCTCATTTGCTATGCCAAGTTTTCCTGGTTTGTTGACATGTTCAAAATATTTTTGTTTCATCTTTTTAATTTTCCAACCCATTTCCTCATTGATCAACATTGAATATTGGGTCTGTAATAATTTAATTGCCTGTTTGGTTGTCTCTTTATTGGGTTTCTTTATTAATTCTTTCTTTTTCTGATAATTCATCCAAAATTTCTCTCTTTTTCTTTTCTCTTATTTTCTTTTTGGTTGAGTTTTGTTTGATAAACAGTCCTCTCATAACTGCTTTGCTAGCATCCCATACTGTTTACAATCTGGTTCCATTATTTAAGTTTAGTTTGAAATAGTGTCCCAGAATCTTTTTGGCCTTTTCTAAAAGAATTTTGTCATCTAATAATTCTTCATTCAATCTCCATCTAAAAGTAGCTTGAGTTTCTTTCCGTATCTCCATTATTATAGGATTATGATCCAATAATTTTCTGGGGTCTATCTCAATTTTTTAAAACTTTTTATTCTAATTCTTTTGAAATCCAGACTGCATCCAATGGAGCACTACTGCCATTTATATGAGGAAAAAAGTGAACTGTTTATCAAACAAATGTTTTTCTCGCCAAATATCTATTAAATTCAGTGTCTTTGTCATCTCAAAAAAGGTTTTGGGTAGCCTACCTTCTTTGGTATCTTTTTTTCTGATTGTTCTGTCCATCTCTAATGATGGTACTCCGTTTAAGTCTCCCATTAATACAACCTTCTCATCTGCAAATTCCAAAAGCTCTGTTTCTAATTTCTGAAAGAATTTTGATTTATTTTCATTTGGTGCATATACGCCTACCAATATTATCTTTTCTCCCTGGACCTTAATTTACACCACTAAAACTCTCTCTTTATCATCTTTTTGAATCAGTTTGGGTTCAAATGCAGGTTTAATATAAAACACAACTCCACGTCTTTTAGCATTGTCTGCCGAAATAAAATCCATCCCTAATCTTTTGTTGATCAGAATTCTTTTATTTTTATTTTTTTGCTACATGTGTTTCCTGTAAGCAAATTATATCTAAATTTTGTTTAAGAATTGCATGTTCAATCCTATTTCTTTTTGCTTTATTGTTCAATCCATTCACATTCCAAGTAAGTACTTTAAGATTTGCCATTATCAAACTTATTTATAAAATCTATCTCTCCTCCCAATGCTCCTTCCAGTTGTTCCAGTTCCTTTTGCTGTCTTAGTGGGCTTCTCATTCCCTTAGCCTTATCTCTAAACTCAAAGTCTCTGTCATGTCTTTCCAAAAATACCTGTGCCTGACTTTCCCTCACCAGTCTATAACTTTTCTTTCTGTATGTGAAGGAAACTCCTTCCGGGAATTCCCATTTATATTTTATATCCACTCTCCTGAGAGCTATTGTCAAATTCTTGTACCTGTCTTCTGAATCTTAATTTAAAGGGAATTTCCCGGAAAAAGTCCACCTTGTTACTCTCAACATGCAGACCCTCTTCAAAACTCTTTTGAAGGATTGCATCCTTCACTCTTTTTGTAACAAAAGTTACCAAGACGTCTGCAGGTTGTTTCCTTTCTCTAGAGGATCTTGTCCTAACTCGATAAATGTTTTCAAACAGTTCCTCCATCCCCAACAGTGTTTGCGTTCTGCTGTAATCAGAGAAGGAGAAACTGATCGAGATCATTCTGTCCCGTGGCAAGATTCCCCCATCACCCCCACCATTGCCCCTTGTTCTGTCTTAAGTGCTTCTACCTCTCCAGCCGACTTTTCCAATTTTCCAATCTTTGATTCCAGTGAGTTCATTTTTTCATCTAATTTATCAAATTTCTGTGAAAGTACTTCAGTACTATTCTCAGTGTCAGCTTTTACTTCCCTAGTTAGTTTCTCCACAGACTGGTACATCCCCTTTTTAAATTCTGCAAAAGGTAAAGCTTGCAGGGCAGCAGTTGAAGAAGGAGCAAAAAGGGTTTTCTTGTGTGTGTGTGTTTCTTTGTGGCTGATTAGCTGCTCTCCCTGTGCAAAGGTCAGAGGGGGCAGGGTTTCTGTTGAGGCAGGTGATTAGCTGTGGGAGGAGCTTATCAGAGCTTGCAAGGCAGCAGTTGAAGAAGGAGCAGTTGAAGAAGGAGCCTAGCGGCGCGCGCAGTTTGATCCATCTTTTAGATTTAGGGGAGCTAGTCTCAAACGTTTGTTGGGGGAGACCTAGGGTTTTTTTGGGGGGGGAGTTATTTGTCCTGTCTTCACGCTTTTTTTGATGGAGGACCGCTGTAGCCACCCCCAACGACACGTTCTCAAGATGGAGGGGGAGGGAACAGCTGCAGTCGCCTGCGGTTCCTGCGCAATGTTTGCCATCTTGCCAAAGGTTGCAGGCAGCTTTACCTGCAGCAATTGCATGTTGATTGCCCTCTTAAAAGACAAAGTCCAGCAACTGGAGGAACGTGTAGCTACGCTCCAAAGAATTAGGGAGCTGGAGCTTTTCTTGGAAGCAACAGAGCACAACGTCTCCACCAAGGAGGAGACAGGGGACTCCCCTGAGAAGGAGGCTAGTACACTAACACAGGAGCCAGATATATGGAGAAACGTGACTCAAAGAAGTAGGAGGCCCAGGGTTCGCTCTTATTGTAATCGCTTTGAGGTCCTCTCCCCTAGCATGGAAGACGAAGAGCAGACTCCATTTGAGGATCTCTCCCTCATTACAGTCGATCAGGTATATGAAGACGAGCAGCAAAGTCAGTCCTCAGGGAATGTGCAGGCGACCTTGGAACGGACAGCTCACGGAAGAACCCCGACCAAACCTAAGAGGAGGCGTGTAGTGGTGATAGGGGATTCCCTACTGAGGGGAACAGAAGCAGTGATCTGTGGGCCTGACAAGATGTCTCGGGAAGTGTGCTGTCTCCCGGGGCTAAGATCCAAGATGTAACTGAACGACTGCAAGGAATCATAAAACCCACTGACAAATACCCCTTCCTCTTGGTTCATGTGGGAACCAATGACACTGCAAGCAATAGCCTCCAGAAGATCAAAAGAGACTACGAGGCTCTGGGCAGGAAGTTGAAGCAACTAAATGCACAAATTGTCATCTCATCTGTCCTCCCAGTTGAATGACGTGGCCCAGGGAGAGAGGGAAAAATAGTGGAAGTGAACAGCTGGCTTCGCAAATGGTGTAAACAGGAACGGTTTGGATTCTTAGATCACGGACTGCAGTTTCTTAAAGATGGACTTCTGGCAAGCGATGGGCTGCACCTCACAACGGTTGGGAGAAATGTTTTTGCCAAAAATCTCAGAAACCTCATCAGGAGGGCTTTAAACTGACTAATGTGGGGGAGGGAGACAGTGCTCCTGAAGGTAGGAGTCTATCAGTTGATGAAGATGATCATCCAAATGTCATAGACCAAATGGAGCAAACAGCACGCAGACCTAGTGGTGGGAGGAAAAAATCCTTAAATAAGAGACACGGGGGGAATGATTAATGGACTTCAATGTCTGTACACTAATGCGCAAAGCATGGGAAATAAACAAGATGAGCTTGAGCTCTTGGTACAGCAAACTAAATATGACATAATAGGCATCACTGAAACCTGGTGGGATAAGTCCCACGATTGGAATGTAATAATGGGGGGATACAATCTATTTCAGAGAAACAGACCAGACAAGAAAGGAGGAGGTGTGGCATTATATGTCAGGGATGTGTATACCTGTGAAGAGATCCAAGATTTAGAACCTCAAAGCCAAAGTGAGAGCATTTGGGTCATTATTAAGGAGAGAAGAATAACAGTGACCTCATTGTGGGAGTTTACTATAGATCCCCAAGCCAAACGGGGACATAGATGATGCCTTCCTGGAACAGATGGCCAAGCATGCAAAAGGAAGGGAGATAGTAGTAATGGGGACTTCAATTACCCGGATATTTGTTGGATGTCAAACTCAGCCAAGAGCATAAGGTCAAACAGATTCCTCACTGGCCTTGCAGACAACTTCATTGTCCAGAAAGTGGGAGAAGCAACAAGAGGAACAGCCATTTTAGATCTGGTCCTAACCAATGTTGATGACCTGGTTAGTGGGGTAGAAGTGGAAGGATCATTAGGCGCGAGTGATCATGCTCTTCTGAAGTTTACTATACAGCGGAAAGGAGCAGCCAAGCATACTAGGACTCAATTTCTTGACTTTAAGAAAGCCGACTTCATCAAACTTAGGGAAGTGCTGGGTGAGATCCCATGGACAGTAATACTAAAAGGAAAGGGAGTTCATGATGGCTGGGAGTTTGTTAAGAGGGAGATAGTAAAAGCACAACTTCAGGCAATACCAATGAGACGGAAACATGGAAGGTGCCTAAAGAAGCCAGGGTGGCTATCTAAAGAACTTTTAACTGAGTTAAGATTTAAAAAGGATGTGTACAAAAAATGGAAAAGGGGGGAAACCACCAAAGAGGAATTCAAACAAACAGCCAGCACGTGTAGACACAAAGTCAGAAAAGCTAAAGCACAGAATGAACTCAGGCTTGCTAGAGAGGTTAAAAGCAACAAAAAGGCTTTTATGGGTATGTTCGTAGCAAAAGGAAGAACAAAGAAACAGTGGGGTCACTCAGAGGAGAAGATGGTGAAATGCAAACAGGGGACACAGAAAGGGCTGAACTCCTCAATGCCTTCTTTGCCTCAGTCTTCTCCGATAAAGAAAACAATGCCCGACCTGAAGAATTTGGAGCAAATGATTCAGCAAAGGAAACACAGCCCAGAATAACTAAGGAGATAGTACAAGAATACTCAGAACCACTGGCAGTCATCTTTGAGAATTCCTGGAGAGCAGGCGAAGTCCCGGCAGACTGGAGGAGGGCAAATGTTGTCCCTATTTTCAAAAAGGGGAAAAGAGAGGACCCAAATAATTACCGCCCAGTCAGTCTGACATCAATACCAGGGAAGATTCTGGAGCAGATCATTAAGCAAACAGTCTCTGAGCACCTAGAAAGGAATGCTGTGATCACCAATAGTCAGCATGGATTTCTGAAAAATAAGTCATGTCAGACTAACCTGATCTCGTTTTTGACAGAATTACAAGCCTGGTAGATGAAGGGAACACAGTGGATGTAGCCTACCTTGATTTCAGCAAGGCATTTGACAAGGTGCCCCATGATATTCTTGTAAAGAAGCTGGTAAAATGCGGTCTTGACTATGCTACCACTCAGTGGATTTGTAACTGGCTGACTGGACCGAACCCAAAGGGTGCTCATCAATGGTTCCTCTTCATCCTGGAGAAGAGTGACTAGTGGGGTGCCACAGGGTTCTGTCTTGGGCCCGGTCTTATTCAACATCTTTATCAACGACTTGGATGATGGACTCAAGGGCATCCTGATCAAATTTGCAGATGACACCAAACTGGGAGGGGTGGCTAACACCCCAGAGGACAGGATCACACTTCAAAATGACCTTGACAGATTAGAGAACTGGGCCAAAACAAACAAGATGAATTTTAACAGGGAGAAATGTAAAGTATTGCACTTGGGCAAAAAAAACGAGAGGCACAAATGCAAGATGGGTGACACCTGGCTTGAGAGCAGTACATGTGAAAAGGATCTAGGAGTCTTGGTTGACCACAAACTTGACATGAGCCAACAGTGTGACGCGGCAGCTAAAAAAGCCAATGCAATTCTGGGCTGCATCAATAGGAGTATAGCATCTAGATCAAGGGAAGTAATAGTGCCACTGTATTCTGCTCTGGTCAGACCTCACCTGGAGTACTGTGTCCAGTTCTGGGCACCACAGTTCAAGAAGGACACTGACAAACTGGAACGTGTCCAGAGGAGGGCAACCAAAATGGTCAAAGGCCTGGAAACGATGCCTTATGAGGAACGGCTAAGGGAGCTGGGCATGTTTAGCCTGGAGAAGAGGAGGTTAAGGGGTGATATGATAGCCATGTTCAAATATATAAAAGGATGTCACATAGAGGAGGGAGAAAGGTTGTTTTCTGCTGCTCCAGAGAAGCGGACACAGAGCAATGGATCCAAACTACAAGAAAGAAGACTCCACCTAAACATTAGGAAGAACTTCCTGACAGTAAGAGCTGTTTGACAGTGGAATTTGCTGCCAAGGAGTGTGGTGGAGTCTCCTTCTTTGGAGGTCTTTAAGCAGAGGCTTGACAACCATATGTCAGGATTGCTCTGATGGTGTTTCCTGCTTGGCAGGGGGTTGGACTCGATGGCCCTTGTGGTCTCTTCCAACTCTATGATTCTATGATTCTATGATTTTAACTTTCACACAGTGCTCTGGAGCAATGTTACAAAACAGTGGGCAGCTTCCTAAATCCAGCTGCTGCTGCCCATGACCAAGGAATTGGGTCGAAGGGTGATGTAACTGGCCACACAGGGGAGCCCAAGTCATCTGCTGCTGCATCTATCCCAACTGCCTGCATTCACCCCCACCCAACTCCCACTTCCAGAAGCCACATATGAAAGCTTTCCATGGCAGCAAAAGCCAATCAGAGCACACAAAAAGCTTAAACCAGCCCTGGAAATTTGACCGGTCCAAATCACAAAAGAGCTGTGGCCATTTCCTCAGTCCTCTATCCCTACTAGATACCTACCTCTTGCTCACCTCAGTATCTGCAGCCAAGTATCCCTGCCAAGGAACAGCTGTAGGTGGCATACCAACCAAGGCAGGCAAAAGACACCTCTTGTCACCAAGGCCACTGGAGCCTTCAGTGGCAAGGATGAATCAAGGAAGACTCCCAAACTAGTTCCCTGTTCCTTTAAGGCTGTAACCCCATCCAGAACAGATGGATGGAATTACACATGCTGAACAGCAGAGCCACTCAACTGCAGGGAATGCATCTTCCCAGGGATTCAGCCACAGTTGTCTTCCATCCAGCCCACAACTGCATCCAGGCGCTGCCTCTGGGCTTGCACAGCCACACCT